GTAATCTTGATTCCAGTGACGCCTTGCTTTATGACCAAGCCATCTCTGATCTCCAAAATAATAATCAAATATTAGTTAAAAAAGTAAATCAACAAATTTCTCTGACCAAGGATATAATAGCAAATTTTAATGAAACAGTAACTCTTATAAAGAACAATCAAGAAATTATTTTTATGGGTATAGATAAGATACGCACATCTTTAAATAAATTTATATTTGATTTCAATGACTATTTGCAGACTAGAAATATATTAGATCAGTTAAACTTAAGCTTAAACATTATTTTACAACTTTTAGATGAAATAGAAAATGCCGTTACTTTTGCTCGACTTGGACTTTTACATAATAGCATTATTGATAAAAATGAGTTAAATTCTATCATAGAGATTATTTTAAAATACCATACAAAAAATGAAGTACTTTTTCAAAATTTTAATGATACTTATAAATATTATGATATTTTAAAAACAGAAGCCTATTACTCTGAGACAAAAATTGTTTTCGCTGTCCACTTTCCTATTGTTTACCCAGAAATATTCTCCTATTATCATCTTTATTCAATTCCTACATCAAATCACAGTACCATTGTACCTCGAAATACCTTTCTGACTATGAATGAAAATTATTACCAATATCACTCACTGCCCTGTCTGGACCTGAAGCCCAATTTCTATTGTACTGATGGCGATTTCTCTGCTGGAGTAGAGAAAGAAGATTGTATCTTTCAATTATTGCAACTGAAGACCAGTTCCACAACTTGCCGCAGAACTCCCGTCCGAATATCTGAGAATGTAATACAACAAATTGATGATTCACATTACATTGCCATCTTCGTAAACCAAACTAAAATCGAGACGATATGTCAGAAAACCGATTTTACAACATTAAAAGGAAATTTTCTAGTTTCCATTCCTTACCAATGCCAGTTCAAAGTAGATAAGAAAACGTTTATTAATAAGAAGACAGTTGTCCAAGGCCAACCACTTCTCTTACCTGAGTTAAGAGTTTCCAATGCTCAAGAAGAAGAAGAAGTCCCAGAAATTGTTCTAAAGGATATCCCTCTCGACAAAATTCACACAATCCAAAGAAATCAAAATCAAATTCAACCTGTGGTACTCCAGCATCTAAAGAAACGTTCCACAAACCATTGGACTATCATAATATATATATTAATAATAATTACTTTCATCTTCCTAGCCATTCATTATATTAAGAAGTTAAGAACAAAAGAAAATCCACATCCAACGTACAATGAACCACATATGGAAGAAGATGACCCCACAGTTCCTGTACCAAATCCAAGGGCATTTTTCACTCCATGAAATATGCCAAGAACTCGCAAGGGAGGAGTTATGGAAGCCGGCCCTGTTCCAGTCATTCGCCTAAGAATGATGATCTAGGATTTCTGTTTTAATGAACTTTGCAATCTGATTAGTTTACATTTTTATATTTACTTAGATATCATTTTTACCATTGCGTTTTTAATTAAATATACTTCAGTCTGTATTTAAACTTCAAAGAAAGCACATTATAATTTTATATAAAAATTGTCCGATCTTTTTACGTATTTTTGTAACCAATTAATAAAGTAATTATTTTTTAAAAATAGTTTTGCCTAAGGGAAAACTATAAGTCCTGTTTCTTTGCTATATTGTTATACGGAGTTATGTCGTAGATGCAGCCGCTACCTGCAAGAAAGTTGAGGATTTTTGAAATGTGGCTTTATCGTCGAATCCTACAGATATCTTATACCGACCACGTTGCTCATCAGGACGTTGTATTAAGAATGCGAAACGAAAAAGAGCTGCTAACAACAATAAAAACAGCCAAAAACACAGCAAATTTGCAATTCACAAGCTAAAACACACAGAAAATGGGAATAAATACCAAAAAGAAACTGATCAAGAATTCACAAGTCTAGATAATCACAGAGATGGATGGACACTGAAAGAAAGATGAAAACGATTTAGGAAAATAATACTAGAAAAGGCCGAAAAGATACGTGGAGGAAGAAAGTATAATAGAAAATCTTGAAACAATTATAGGGTATAGGAAGCTCAGCATCCTCATCTATGGCTCGACAATCCTCTGTGGATCCTGGTTTGCTCTAAGATTTGTCTCCATTATGTTCGGTTTCTGGCAACGAGTTATCACCATCTGATCTCTAGTATCCCTAAATCGGTCTCAACTCAATCTAACCTTCTAGTTCGCAGTCGGCCTTTGCTTCTTCTTCGTATAGGAGTTCCTGTCGTTAAGTCGCTGTGTTTTGATGAACGTTAAGACATCTGATTCATTAAAGAGTTGGTATAATTCGAAATTATATCTTTTGCGCCACTTCCTTTGATATTCCCAGAAGTCTTTCATCCTTCTTCGTTAGAGTCCATGTTTCCGCCCTGTATGTGACGACCGGTATTGGCAGTTCTTTGTATATAGAATTTTAGTTTTTCTTTGGATGTACAGGAACCTACATCCAGACAGAGTGAGAAAATAAGAAACAGCATTGGATTAGAACCAATATTGGCAAAAATCAAAAAGGGACAAATCAATTGGTTAGGTTACATGGTAAGAATGGATCAAACCTGACGTAAGGAGAATAATGGAAGTGTAAAAATAAACGAAAGGAAGAAGATACGGGGAAAGAAAGAGGTGACTGGACCAACCAAATAGAAGAATATGAAAGGGAAAGAGGAAAAGCCATAGTGAGAATTAAGAAATTAGCAAAGAATAGAAGTGAAAAAAATGGATAAATGATAAATTGACATCCTTTGTCTTTAATTTTTACTCCTTTAAGTTTAAAATTCAGTTTTATTTTTGACATAGTAATAGATTTCGCTAAATCATTATAAAAATATATTTTTTTGATAGATAAAATACCATTGACATTGGAAATAGTTGAACATGAACTTAAATTCAAATACACGCCGTTAACTTTTATCTATATTAACTATTATTAATTAACTATTCAATGATAGATTATAATCCACTCATTGTTCATACTATTTACTATAATATTTATTATACATTAGCATTTTATATATCCCACACTTTTAGTCTCTATAAAATAAAGGTTAACATTATTGAAAAATCTGTTATTTTCATTTTACAATTTTCTCTATATTATTTTTTATTTTTATTCAAGTTCCATCTTTTGAACCAATTAACCTTCGAACCAGTAATTTGTCTCGATAAATTATAATTCGCACTACACTATTCTAAAAAGTTGGCTATTTGTGTATACAGAATAAAATATGGGACCATATCACAAGAAAATAAAAGTTAGCACTAATCAAATAATAACAGCAGTAGAATCCAATAAAATAGAAATAACATTAAATCTAATATCGTGTACGAAATGAATTGCAAATATATTGTGGGGCGGCCATAACGAAACAAATAACACCATTAATTGACTAAATAATACAACACAATAAAATACGGGAATAATGAAGAATTCACAAATCTGTGATAAAAAAAAGTAAAAAAGCCAACCAGAAAACTTATTATTATTATATTATACCACAAAACCAAGGTAAAACTTACAACTAAAATTTTACAAAAATTAATAAATTAGATATTGAGCGTAGCAGATGAATAACAAGGTTTTATATTATGTAATACATCTTTTTTTATAGTACAGTTTCAGCAAAACAACAAGATAAAAGATAGAATATCAGCAAAGACAGTTTCTGATATTTAACTGGTATATGATAGAGAGTATATCCTTAACGAAGGCTACGGGACGACCGGTTTCGCAAAAAAACCTACATGAATTAAATTTCCCCAAACACTGACATCCAGAGCATCATCATCATTATCATTATCATCATCAAAGCCTTGCAATCATCGAAGTTTATGTCTAGTGCCAAGGTGTATATAACAACTTTTAATAAAAATGAAGTTTGGACATGCATTTTTCCCTCTATATCTAGCAAGAATCAAAGTTTTTTTATTTAAATCTATGTTCTGTCATATTTTTTTAATGGAACTAATTGGTTTGTATATCTCCAGATTGCCTTCTATGTGCTTAGATGCTTAAATTTTGTATTCTTACTCGATTTCCACAGTTCCATAATACTATTACTTTTTTGTATGCTATATTCACTCGTTTCTCTTTGGACTCAAAATGTTTTGCTTCTTTTCTATTTTTCATCAGAATTTCTCTGTACTCTCTGTTGATTTTTAATTTCTCTAAAATCTATATGTATTTTTAAGGATTTTTAATTATTCATTCATTCCTTTTTGTGGACCGATTTTGCTTATATCCCTATTTTTTTCTATACTTACAACTTGTGTTAAAACTTTTGAAATTATTTAGTCACCCCATAATTTCATGAAGATTAAGGGCCTTTTTTATTAATACTCTTTTATTCTCTATTTTCTGCGCTTTATTATTTAAAGCTTTTTTTTTGTTTCAAGCTCATATTCTCCTTTCTTGGTTCTTTTATTTTTTTACCGTATGTGTCCGGTCCTTCCCTAAGCTTCTGTATTCGTTTTAGCATTTGTAATAATGTACTTTTTATTTCGATCATATTCTTCTTCCTTTTTTCATTTTAGCTATACATTTTTCATCATATTTTTCTTTTTTTTTAAGCCAAATCAACTCGTCGAATTGGTGTTTTGTTGCTTGTTTGGGGTTGATAACTATAAATGCATAGTTTTTCTTGTACTATTGTCTCTGGTAAAGAGTTTATTAATTAACTATTGATAGGCGCTATACTTACAGTATACTATTTTTAAAATATTACTCGCTACGTTGACAATCTGATTTACTTATTCTATCTCTAGATCTGAAAAAAAAGCTAGAAATATCCAAAGAGGTCTAAGACAGATTTGGATGAGGAGTTGGTAGTTGATTGTTTGCATACAGCATCATCGTGTCGTATGAGAAAAACTGGAGGGAAGAATGTCTTTAAAATAGATATGCCATATGCCCTGCACTTCTTAGTTTTATATACACATATAGCCATTTTCATGTCTATGTTCCCAACTAAAAGATTTACCTGAGTTGTCATCATCCCACTTAACCATTCTAGGTAAATCTATCAAAATACAACACTCTGATTAGCAAAAATAATTTACAACCGGTTGGACAAACGATCATTAAAGTTTTATATTCTATTTTTCTACCAATTGCCATCATTGCAGCCTCATGTAAACTTTTAATTAAATTAAATAATTAAAATTGTCTACACTTAAATCTTAACTACTTAAATTAATACCAAAAAGATGACAGGAAAAAAGAAGAAATATATAAAAACTTAATTCCGCAGTTTAATTACACAGTTCTGCAACAAAAAAGCGTTTGCATAAATTCAACTATTTTCTAAGCTACGAGATCTTGCACTTGAAAATCGTACAGAAAATCGTATTCTGTGGCTATAGAAACTCATGCAAATTGCATGAGAGATGCGGAGGTACTATAAACCCATCTCCGTCTTATACACGGTGTAACTCGCTGCGCAGAACGTTAAGGGCGCTTCGATAGCTGACACAAGGTAGACTACATGTACGCTGCCTACTCAATTTTGTTTCTAACATTGATGAGATAATATAAACTCGATTTCTTTTCGACAATTCTAGTTTGTGTAATATGTCTTACCAAGTTGGTATTATTATAATTTTATTAACCAAAGCATTCCATTTCATACCCAAATCTCCCCTCAGCTATTTGTCTTTTCCTCACGATGCAGACGCATTTGTGCCAAAGCCACTATTACATTAGGGGAGGTACCAGATTCAGATGAAGATACAGTACAACCTCAGGACAATTAGAAATTTTTCTCCCAAGAAGTGATAAATGATTTGGTGAGAGATTTAAATACTCCCAAAGAAAGTTTGATGGTTCAATTCAAAATCCAGTATGAATGCTCTCGATGGCGCCTCCTTATCGACTCATCTAATCGTAGTTTAAAAGCGCTGGTTTCTATGGTTCTATTCCATTCGGTGTTCTTAAAAGAGATCTACAAGAACTTGCAATGATTCTTCAAAAACTCAAATAAAATCACGGTTGGTAAATGTGCAGTGATTTGAAGATCTTGTGTACATTACTTGTGCAACAAATTAGTTAAACCAAATTAATAAACACAAAAATATAGTCAAAAGAATATGGAAGTCTGGTGGTGTCAGGTTCCCACTGCATTACCAAACCGATTTTTTATGTTCACTTTTTCTAAAAGAAAGACGGATTGTATTTCTTAATTTATTGTCTCACTTTACACTTATAAACTTGACTCAGGTCGTGTTGCTACTACATTATAAACTGTGTTAGATATACCAACTAATTGAATTCTGTCTCTCTACCGATTTCGCTTTAAATATGAGACTGGAATTGTTTATACAAGGTCGCGCAATAGTAAATGTATACTGTATTATGATATATTTCATAATTGTATCTGATTCTCCATCTGTTCTTCTCATTTATAAGACCTAGTATTCGTCTCAGTACCTTTCTTTCAAATATGTCTATGCGATTTACAGTTTTTGAGTCAACACCCAACTTTCGAAACCATAGCTCACTATCAGTCCGATTATGATGTAGATTCGTATTATTCGTTCTCTGTATGTACATTATCCGAACCTAACTTCTTTTCTTCATATTGATTATTATCTATTAGTCCCACTTCTACTGCATTTTTCGCGATTTGGAACAGTTCGACAGTGTCAGGTTGATCAGTCCTTTCGTCATTCGAATTGTGTATCTCTTTCTATTTCTTAGCTTGTGCTCTCGTTGACATCAATATACTTCTTTCTGTGTCTTTATATAGTGGTTTTAGTTCTTTCGATCTGATTTCAATCTGTGATAAGGGATCGGCCGTAACGTTTACAACTCCTTTCATGTATCTAATTGTCAAGTTTTATTCCTCCAGAGTCAATCCGAATTTGGTTAATCTACTTGAAGGACTTGTCATCCCAAATTAGTTACCACAACCATATTTCATTTAAACATGACCTATTTGGTTATTTTGCTGAGTGGATCTTGGCTGATAGTACAGGGGCAGATTATTTTATCAAGAACTTATTCTTAATATTGTTTATTAGCTGGGTGTATTGAAACATAACTATTTCTAGTTCTAACTTTTCCGCTTGCGTCAAATTAACCTCTAGGACGTATTTTTTTTAGCTGAGATTTTTCCTTATCGTAAATTTCAATTACCCCTAGGAATGCTTTGGTCATATCTTCGGTAGTACACGAATCAAATACTTGTAAAATCGAATTTAATTGTAATCTCTAAAATATAATTTTATCATTCCAAAAAGGATCATTTTCTCAACTCCCACCTGGATTAATTTGCTGAGAATTTGGGGGATGTGAGTAAAGAAGAATGGAAAATAGCACGGATGGAGGACAACTGCTGGAGCTACAGAGGGACATTCTAGATAACATTTAGCTCTTTTGAGTCATACCACTGGAAAAAAAAACAGATACGAAATTTATGAAAAAACGTGGCGTCATATGACAAAACGGAATTGATTTTTAGATCCAGCACACCATAAACCATCTAAATCAGTTGAAACATCAAATCAGCTTTTGAACAAAAATTTTTTGCAGACCTGTTATTTGTCTACTAAAGGATAAATTATAATACGGCGATGAGTTTAAATGAAGTATTAACGTTCTACTCTCCATGACACCATTTTGGTGCTTTATGGTATCATTAATTAAATTATCGATCGTTTTTACAACCGTTTGCAAGTTTTTTATTGAAAAATAAAGAAACTCACTTAAAGCAGCATTTGACTTAGCAGGTTTTGCCCATCCTAAACTTCTATCAATAGCCATTTTCCATCGTGAATACTTTATATCTCTTACTGGAAACAAGAAAACCACATTACAACAATATTATATGGTAAAAGTTGGTTCACCAACACAATTTTTCAAGGAAACAACAACATTTATATTTGAAAGGACATATAAACACATAACATTTTAATTGCTGTAATACTTACAATTTTCTGATATTTGCGGTGTGAAATTATCACAAGGCACCGGAAGTATTTTATCTATTTGCCACACTTCTATTCCTTCTGCTATACCCGCGGCTATTGCTGCTCCTAGTGATGTTGTTTCAGTCATTGTCGGCCTCACTAAAACAGTTAAATACAAAATGAAATACTACATATCATACATCTTTTATTACAACAATGACCTTATTTTTATTTCTACATTCATAACCCTGTATTATGTATAGCTCTTGATGTTAATGTGTCAGCTTCCTCATTACCTTTTATTCCTACGTTTGATTACCACAATAATTTTACTCTGTAGATAATATAAATCATTCATGATTTTTTGAATTATCTCATGAGATGGAGTAATATTTAAAAGCCTATTAAAGTATTGAGAAATCAGAAATTATTATACAAACTGGATTCACTTCAATCAAATATGGATGTTTGATTGAAGGTTTCTTGGCATGATTTAAGTGCTTTTAGGATGGCCATTCGAGTTGGAGTGCTTCGATATTATTTCTCGGTATCTCTTTAATTTTCCATGACTCTAGCGAATAAATCAGAGTCAATTTGACTGATAGCATGACTTATGTTCACTTTCAGGGCCGCTGTGGTTTGTGCTATATTCACATAGACCTGCAACAAAATACCACAGGAAAGAGTCTAATGAACTTAAATCAGACGATCTCGGGACCAGTTCACATCTTCTCTATGTAAGATAAACATGCTCTCAAATCGCTCGTGCAAAATGTCCAATGTGGCATGAGTTTTGTGGATTGCTTCCAATTCTCGTGCACAATCTTTCTCTCTCTCTATTGCGTTTTGTCGACGTATGAATATTGGTTAATTATTTACTAAACAAATCAAATGTATCCAAAATACTGGGAACAGTCCTCATGGTAGGATTAAAGCGGCAGTAAAATGGACGACTTCATTGCCCGAACAGAACACCGAATTTAATAAATCAATATCATTTACACGTGTTGCTGTACGCTATATCTATCCTTAGTAATTTGGGAAAACACACTGAAGAAATAACGGCCAATTTAACAGATGTAGCTTCAACAATATAGCCGCTATCAACAGTCAGTTCGTCAAGTTCAGAAGTCCCTACTGGAAGACTCTGTACTACGGATTACATCTTCGTGTGTGGCTATTACACTATTCTTATTGAAAAAGTACATTCTTATTTGCTATAAGAACGAAAAATTTAGTAGTTATCTCATCTGTAGTCTGCGGAGATATACGGTATCCTATTTAACCGACGGCCGATTCTAGTCGCGTGTAATTTTATAGAAGCATGAAAATTATATTTTCTGACCCAATTTATTATTTTTTTTTCAAAATAGTTTATTAGACAATACAATAAATTATTATTCTCCATTCGCTTAGCTCGGGCATATTTTGACAGATTCATTGTAGGAAACCTACAACACAAAAATTCCTACTTCTCAGTATTAATAGCTCAAATATACTACTATTGCAGACTTCTTCCTTAAAAAAAAGAAGAATTATTCCAAATAGTGAAAGTGTATACTAAACCCATAACATTTTCCCTGTATATTTAAAATATAATATTTGAGTTGTTACAATTGAACATATTGTAGTAAATATTTGTATTATTCGCGTTGTTTATTTTAGCTAATATAGTTTTATTGTTCCATTATTTTTGTTTAATTCTTTGTTAGTTCTATTTTTAGTTAATTAGTTAGTTCTATTTTGAATTTTATTATTAGAGATAGTCAAAGTTTTCCATTTGTTCTATCAGATAATGCGTTGGTAAGTTTTTCTTGAATAAATATAAATATGATAAATGTTCTTTAAAAGTTAATATTTTTAGATGAGTAAGGATGCTGTTAAATTACGAGGTAATCAATCTGCACAAAGATTTATTCAAAACACCAACCATTTTTGTTTAATTATTTGCCCATTCGGCGTAGGTGGATCATTAAAATATATTTATAAAATTATGTAAATATGTTCTTAATAACAAAAACATTTCAGTTAACATCCAGTTCTGTTTGACATGGAGTCAAAAATTAAATAAAAGCAGTGATAAAAGTTACAGTAATTTAGTTTATATTGTTAAGTTGCTCCAAATGTAGGCAACCAACTTAAACTTTTTGTTAGGATTTAGCTGGAGTTTCTTGAGAATATTTTTAATAAACGTTTATTATTTTCCAGTTAATTTATTATTTTTTAAAAAGTGATGATAATAATGCCGAATAAGCAATATTTCAAATGATATTTAATCACAAAACGTACTTAATATTGTGTTATTGTAAAATCCTCATAATAAAGTACGTTAGATAAAAAAGGTAAAATCCCGGGCCGTCCAAAACTAGTTTCTAATAGGAATAATAGAAGATTATGATTTGTTTTAATTATATGTTTGATGATATTGGATATTTTTGAATTATAATATGAATATTATGATATTTTTTATCTAACCTACTTTATAACACAATATTAAGTAGGTCCTGTGATTAGATATCATTTGAAATATTGCTTATTCAGCATTATTATCATCACTTTAAAAAATAATAATAAATTAACTGGAAAATATTAAATATATTCTCAAGAAACTCCAGCTAAATGCTAACAAAAAGTTTAAGTTGGTTGCCTACATTTGGCGCAACCTAACGATATAAACTAAATTACCGTAACTTTTTTTATAAAACATATTTTTTATATATAATAGAAACTTACATTCTATATACATGCTATAAATTTCCAATTCACAGTATAAGTTTGCAAAAGAGGTCGACGAAATACTCTAATGAAATGCGCTATGAGCACGTGTACTTGGTTGTATAATAATTTCCAGCCACTTCTAGTCTGTCAAAAAGTAACTAACTTCGTAAAAACATAATTACTAAAATCACTAGACAGTTCGGACTGGCATTAGCGAACCGAGTATAGCATTTATTCCATCCATATTAATCCGATTTATCCTACCGCCAAAGAGCAGAATTCTTGAATTTATAACAGGTGAAGAGAAATTGGTAAGAAATTTTACAAATCAATAATTATTATAATAACACTATGTTTAAATTTTAATAAGCTCTTAACATATCAATAAAAATTACATGCATAATGAAATATTTAGCAAATTACTAAATATCTCCAACGAATATATACTCTTTCCATCAAGGTTTATACACTGAGTTCCGGAATTGCTTGTTCCTGATGTTTCGTCTGCAACTACGGCAGATATTACCACAGGCTGTGCAAGAGAGAACATTTAGGTGACCTATTATCGTTCCTCTAAACTACCGATGAGCCCCTGCACCATTTTAGTGCTAAAAGAATTCTTTAGCAATATACTGTGCACCAGCTTTCGAGACCCTGCCACAGTATATTGCTAAAGAATTCTTTTACCATCAAACTGTAACCCTGCTCTGTATGTAACCGTCGGCAGCTCTCCCTCGGGTCCGTCAATTACTCCAAATTGGTATTGTATTCACTGCGTCTAGGGATAATTACAATATTTTGGGGTGTTGATTGCCACATCTTGTTTAGACGCAGATATTTAACGTTATTCCTTGCTATTTTGTTTAATTTTACTATCTGATTAATGGTCGAATTTTTTTGAACGTACAGATCGCTCTTTTCTCTTGGGAGCATAATCTTTTTGTACCCAAAAAATATAGATGCTATTTTTCTTCTAAAATCCACAAGAAGCCAATACCTTAGGTATTAACTGTTTAACTGCAAAAATCTGATCAATTGTAGATTAAATGTTTTTAAAACAGGCTTAGTATTCTGTCATCCCGGAAACTGCGCCCTAACTATCTAACTCGAGACTAGTTCACTTAAGTCTCAGCTCCTGTACAAGAAAGTCCGACTTGTGTACCAGCGTCCGAAAAAGTTCTGACTTGGTCGGTATGTTTATTTACTTATATTATATATCTTATAACTGTCCCTCTATCTCTATCTATCTATCTAATTAGCCTTCTTCGGTCCATCTTTGGACATAGGCCTCCCCAATCCTTTTCCATTCTTCTCTGTCTGTCGCTACAGTCATCCATCTAGATCCCACGTGCTGCTTGATATCATCTGCCCATCTCATTTGGGGCCTTCCTCTGCTTCGTTTATATTCCCACGGTCTCCAACTTATAAGAATTTTGTTCCATCGGTCTTCTTTTTGTCTTATATTGTGTCCGGCAAATCTCCATTTCAATTTTGCAACTTCTTGTCTAACATCCATCACTTTTGTTTTCTCTCTTATCCACTCGTTTCTCTTATCCATTAGTCTTATGTGCAACATTTGTCTTTCCATTGCTCTTTGGGTTTTTATGATTTTTCCATGTTTGCTTTTGTAGATGTCCACGTTTGGGAACCATAAGTAAGAACAGGGAGTACGCATTGATTATATACTTTGGTCTTAAGATGCTGTGGATATCTTTTGTTTTTAAGAATGTAGCTTAGTTTGCCAAATGCCGCCCATGCCAGTCTAACTCGTCTCTTGATCTCTGCTGTTTGGTTCTCTTTGTTAAGTTTTATAGTTTGACCAAGATATATATAATCCTTAACTTGTTCTATTTCATCTTGTCCGATTCTCATTGTGATGTCTTCATCTGTATTTGTTATAGTTTTGGTTTTGCTGTAATTCATATTAAGGCATATCTTTCCAGCTTCTACGTCCAGTTCTTTCATCATTTCAAATAATTCTTTTTTTTATCGGTTATCAATACGATGTCATCAGCGTACCTTAGATGGTTCAAGCGTTGTCCACAAATTTTTATACCTTTTTTCCCATTCTAATCTTTTAAAAGTATCTTCAAGAGCCTGATTGAAAAGTTTCGGTGATATTGTATCACCCTGTCTCACGCCTCTACTTATTTGTAATGATTTTGTTCCTTCATATACTTTAATTGTTGTTTTGACTTCCTTATATATATATATATATATATATATATATATATATATATATATATATATATATATATATATATATATATATATATTGGTTATTAGTTCCGTATATCTAATTTAAATTATTTATCATTATTATAGACTTTAATGACAATTCTGTTTGCCGTTATTTTGATATCACAACGTCCTACCGTTGTGATTGCCATTAACTGTCGCTCAACGAATTTTGAACATCTCTGTAATTGTTTTATTGGTGGTCTATTTTAATTCTTATACCGCGCAAATAATACAACCTGGATCGACTCCTTAAGTTATGTTCTTATCAGTATGATATTTGCTCAGCTAAAATATGCTTTAATCATGAATGTGTTGCCTGTGTGAGTCCATTTCAAATAGGTAAAAAGAAATAAAATAAGACTTACTCACAATCAATTTAATTTTACCACCAAAACGAGCGGTTTCGCTTACTACACTTTGTTAAGCATCTTCAGGTCTAACGGTATCAAGTAAATTAAATGCTGAAATGACAAAAGCCCGCATTAGGGTGCTGTCTTATAAAGATAACAATTAGAGTAATTATGCCAATATTACATGTCTGTATTTATCAATATGAATAAAATTGATGAAGCAGACAAAGTAAAAACCCACAAATTGGTAGAAGATAATCTATTAAATTAAAATAAATTAGTAAATAACATTCCGGTACAAGAATTATTAGTTAATGATTCGGAAAACATAGTTCAAACTATCCTGGGTTGCTGGTGATGGGTAATCTTCGGTTTTATTACAACTGTTTGATAATTAGAGGGGAAGTTCTTGAGGGGAGATATATTAACAAATGAAATAGGAATTAGGTATTGTGTAATTGTTTTCCGAATCATTAACTAATAATTCTTGTACCGGCATATAAGTAGTATTTTGGTTATTTACTAATTTATTTCAATTCAATAGATTATCTTATACCAATTTGTGGGTTTTTACTTTGTCTGCTTCATCAATTTTATTCATATTAATAAACACAGACATGTAATATTGGCATAATTACTGTAATTGTTATCTTTATAAGGCAGCACCGTAATGTGAGCTTTTGTAATTTCAGTATTTAATTTACTTGGTACCGTTAGACCTGAAGATGCTTAGCAAAGTGTAGTAAGCGTAACCGGTCGTTTTGGTGCTAAATTTTATTGTGAGTAAGTCTTATTTTATTTCTTTTTACCTATATGCTTTATTGTTTATTTCCGTTCTTCTATTTTACGTGTTTTAAAACACTTTTCACTCACACTCATAGCAAGAAACGTTCGATCTAGCCCTAGACTCCGAATTACGTTTCGGAGGTATTTGCGTGTTATCAGTTACTTGTCTTTCAAAAATAAAACTATCTGAAAAGAAACTATTATGTTAACTTACCAACAGGAATTCCACAATAATCCGCTTGCATTTGCATAAGATAATCGTTCTTCGTCATTCCTCCATCGACTAATAATTTTTGAAGGGGATATCTACAGTCTAAGGCCATAGCTTCAAGAACATCTCTGACTTGAAAGCATACTGCTTCAAGAGCCGCTTTTACGAAATGACCTGGTTTTGTTTCATCCGTTATTCCACAAATTACGCTAAAAATATAAATATAAATAAAAATAAAATAGTTGTTATTAATTCAATAAAAAAAAAATTCAAATTGAGTCTATCTTGTTACTTAAGAGGCATTAAAAGAACTGTAGCAAAACAATATCAACCTAGTAGTTAATTATTGATTATCAGTTAGCAGACGGCTTTTTCGAATCACCTTTGACATTGTCTGTCTTACCACCTTTGATAATGTCTACTACAGTTCTAAACAAATCACCAGGAAGAGATAATTATTCCTAATTAAGTAACCATAATAGTGCTGGTGAACAAATGTTATGGCTAGAGAAGGAATGTCTTTATCTGCTTTATCGATTACCCAAAAGCTTTTGACAATGTAAAAATCTCCAATAGTCTATATACACAACACGTAAAAAAAGTAAGGGCGTGAGACACAGCTGCATCCTCTTGCCTCTGCCGTTTAACATTTATGTAAAAAAGATGTTTCAACTTGCACAGCAGAATGAAAAAGATAACAAAATACGTTCCCATAAATAAGAAAATAAACATCGAATTAATAGGCAGAGTTGGGAAATTTAAATATATTTGAGTTAATTTAAAACAGTAAATGGGACTGACACGAAGAAGTGAATCTACGAATAGTAATAGCGAGGAATAGTTTTACCAAATTCAATAATTACTTTTGTAAGCGCGAAACTTCTCACATTTCCATTTTCCATTTTCAAAACCATTCCATACATACACTGCCACGACATTTAATACTATAAATACATTATAATTACAATTATTTGGAATCTTTAATTTCTAATTATATTTAGATACATTAACTATATCACATCACATTATCTCATAATATTCAGTCTATCTTGGCCAATATGTGTTGTTACTTTTCTCACATAAATATGTAATTTATCCAATTATACTCTCTCTACACACATTTTTAATTCCCACATATTCAACCAACCTCACTATAAATAATGTCTATTGGAATATTCTAAAATCATACAAAACATTGTATTTTACTAAATAATTGCACGCAATATATCTATCCAAGTTTGTGACGTCATTGCTCACTTGCAAGATTTTATCTTATTATCATGTTATCAATTAAACCAGACTTATCTTTTTAATAATATATCTTTATTACATATTTGACTTTGAATATACCTTAATTTTATTAATTGTAATATTAATTAAAACAATAAGATAATTTTAATCCGTTAATCAGAAGTTTTTACTTCATTATAAGTTTTATTATTATAAATGCTTATAAAACAAAATCAACCTTAATTTTGCAGAAGGGTTTTGCGTTGCAATGTTTTTTTTTAACTTTTTTTGATACAAATTGATAGAAAAAACTTTCATTTGGTACGCGTATAATTACCGATTCTTCATTATTTTCTGACTAATTTTATTATAAAAAAAAAACTATCTGGGATAAACAAATAGAATAACTTTTAAACTAATTATTGAATCGTTCTGAAATTGTGAGGATTTGTTAAGGACATTTTAAGAAATTTTTTACACAAAATTGTTAATAATTAACCAAAGACGCCAAAACTGCAGCTTCAGAAAACATATAGATTTTCTTTATATAGGCATATAATAACTAAAATTGTTTTCAAATACATGTATTTGTCAGTCACGAAAATCTCATTACCCGGAGCTAGAAGTACATCCGTACTTCACGATTCGTCTAAATAATGTAGTTACATGCCGAATTGTATCACTATTTTGGCAGCAGGCATTTATAATAATGACATATTGCGGTCCAACTATTTCGACCACGGACTGATTTCTACATCAGTTTCTAGCTAGTGCTATAAAAATGTCCATTTTTACCTTCTTGCATCTTTCCTCCAATATGGAGCATATAAACCAGAAAAGGCGGGAACAAAAACGACTTCTCCTGTTGCATCTACTGACTGGGCTACTTCAGATGATTCTGATACATCTTTTATGATTTGCAAATTATCACGTAACCACGTTATTGATATACCTAAAATATTTAATGTTTTAAATAAAATGATAATTTTAAGACAAGCAAACTACATATAATCGAGGCCAATAAAAAATATGTATACGGACAAATAAAACGCGAATCTTAAAATATTTCCTAACGCAACGTGTTGGCTATCATGAAAAAAATATAAAACTATAACGTTTTATCACATTTTTGTCAGTGGGAAAATTCTTACTTGTTGGCTGTATACCAGTTTTAAAAAAATTAACAATGAAGTAAAAACTTCTAATGTAATTGTTACAATTTATAAAATTATTAAAACTATGAAAATATCCAAAAGGTTTACAATTTAACAACCTAAAGGGGTACAATTTTGACTGTTAATTTATAAACATGTATGATTATTTATTAAAGCATTTGTCACTTCCAAAACGGTATAAAAACCTGTGGTTTTAAAAATAAAACGACAATCTTGATAATTTAAGATTTAACTGAAATGGAATATACTGATTCTCACTAGAATTAGCGACCACGTCTGGATCTAACAGAAGTTACCAGTCAACTAAGTTAGGAAGACCAGGAATAAAATTAATACCTGTCAAGTTCACAAGGAAGTCCAGACATGATTGATAAAAATTTAACAACCATTTGTGGTTTATGGATAATGCCAAATTAAAGTATTTTTATTTTCATTTAAATTAAAGGTAATAATGATACTTTTTTACATTAAAATGACATTAAAGTGACATTGAAAAATTAGTGTAAGGTTATAAATATTATAGAACAGGTGATATAGATAATTTATAGTTAAGATAGGCATTTGTGGGGTGATGATGACGTCATGATATCTAAATTAATTGAATTTATCTTCAAGTAGGAGCAAATTCATCTATAAATTCTTGAGCAGTAGCACACCTGTCTTAGAAGTGTGTTGTTGTGTTGGAACACAACAACACACTTCTAAGTTCCACATTCATCAGATATCAAAATCTTGTATATAGAAAATATCTATAAAAAAGGCTATTTCTCGAAATATACCACATAAATAAAAACAAAAAGTTTAACGGAATTTTAAAATTCTGATAAACTAGAAAATATCTAAGATCTGGATCGATAATAAAACTCGTTGGGCATATATATATATATATATATATATATATATATATATATATATATATATATATATATATATATACATAATACGATAGTCGCTAGTTCACATAAGCCCCTAAGTAAGGAGGGTATCCACACAAGGGTAAGCCTGTTAAAGATACAACAACTTATATGTATAATGTAGTTTTTTGTTTTCATTTTTAGTATTATTTTAGAAAGATTTAAAAAAACTCATAAGCTGACCAAATCTTAAAGAGTTTTACTTAAAGGCCAGTATTTTGACTACAAAACCCAAAATATCCATATGTATTAATACTCTCCTAGTCACTAAAACCCTAACCATGATATATATATATATATATATATATATATATATATATATATATATATATATATATATGTATATATATATATATATATACACATTTGGAAAGTTTTTAAAGGAAAATAGGATTTTTAATACAATTACTGAGATTCCTCGATTTGCAATTACCCAGTGTAAATTTCAATACAACGTCGCGATGTTTTATAATTATATATTTGTTCCACTAGATTGCTGCTCTTTCGCAATTTGTAGCAGCGTATTTGGCATGCGTACGTAGACAGTGTTGTTCCGTCCAACGATTTTCTATATTATTGTGCAGATAATAATAATGCTTTGTTAATAACAATTTTGTTTGCGTTCATTAGATATTATTTGAATTGGTTAATGAATACTTTAATATATTTATTATTCCAAATACTGTTGATAATTTAAAATTTAAAAGGAGGTATATGATATATCAAAATCTACGGATTTTTTCCGAAAGTATCTACTGATTTGGCAACAGTCCCAAGGAACATAACTGGTCGAGAAAATCAAATACCTTTGCTTCTGATTATAACGCCATAAGCTGAAATTAAAGTAGGTTTTCTAACCATAAACCATGTATACAACATAAAATAATACAAACAATAGACAAGAGAAAAAGTACAAATTTTAAAATGGTATTTTGGGGCAACTCGTACCGTGACATTATAAATTTATTTACTTGTGCCTATGAAAAAAAGCCAATACCGACAAAATCAACTAATAGTCGTTAATCGATCATTACACGATGATCGTTTGCGTTTGGTAGCGTGCGCAGCAGTAGAAAAATATCGACTGGAGAGGGGAGTCCAGTCGAACAAATGAATTAATTATAAAACATCGCGACATTATATTGAAATTTACACTTAATATATATATATATATATATATATATATATATATATATATATATATATATATATATATATATATATATATATATATATATATATTGTTATGATGTGTTGTTTTTGTATGAGCTATGAGTAAATTTGAATGATATATGTAAGTATAGGGTTTTTACTGAAATTCTTACAATTATTAAATTATTAACAAAATTTGGTACCTTTCTATCACTGAACGCCTAAAGTTTTTCCAAAATTAAAGTTATTATCACTTCTCTCACTCGATATCTTCTTACTAAGCCTTGGTTATCCAACAATTTTAATATGTTTCTTCTTAATTATCTCCACTCGCCATATAAATATATAAATTTAAATCCTTGTAATTTCCATATAATGTACTTTCAAATATACTGGATCTTGTGGTTGCATTATTGAATGCTTACTTCAATGAATTAACTTCATACTGTCACTATATTACTGTAGTAATAATTAATCTCCAACTGTATTTAACTTAATTCATTTAACTTAATCAATGCCTTCTTCTAGCTAATAATCTCTTCATAACCTCATAAATTATTCTTAATTCTTCTTTGTAATTAATAATCACATGTAACTGACTTAATAATCCTTTAATTCTTATAACTAACTCCTCAATAATAATCTTGTAACTGATTTAATTTCTTCTAACTAACTCACTTAACTCAATTAATAATCTTCTTGTAACTAAATTCTTGAATTATAACTTTACTGACTCACTTTACTAACTGATTAATCAACTGTAACTAATCATAATCTGTAACTAACTAACCAACTGACTTAACTAACTGCTCCCGCTCCAAATTACATGGTTTATATATCTTTCCTTGGTTCCAGAATAATCTAGTTCGATTCTAATGTTCGAATCATTCTATTTTTTCTATCTGAACATTCTGGAATAAATGGAATGGTTTTTGTCTATGATGTATTATGCAAATAGTCCTATTGACATTTCTAGAATTTTCCCTGGTCTACATGTACAATTTACTTGACTTTAGGCTCTCCAGATCAGAATTACACTATTATATGTAACTTAAACATTTATATGAAATACATTTTTACTATTTTACATATGTAATTTTATTTTAAATTAAAACTCCCAATAATAAATAACTTTTTGACTTTGACACTACAGTGTATGTTTGGTTGCATATGCACATGGCTGACTTAAACATATCTAATATTAAATAAAATAAAAAAAAACTTCTTAAACTTAATTCTTATGCTAAATTCTTAAAAATACCCTCATATAATTATAATTTTTTAATAATATTATCTAGTATATAACTTATAAATTATGCCTTTAATTACTATTTAAATAAATTTATTAATTAACATTGTATATCTGGTTGTATATATTTCTATGTTAATTTATTGTATTTCTGTTCTCATTAGATATATATATATATATATATATATATATATATATATATATATATATATATATATATATATATATACAGGGTGATTGATTAGTGTGAGGAAGCTCAGTAGATCTGTTATAGTAAAAATTACAAAAAAAAGTTATTAACAAAAATTGTAGGCAGCTTTAAACTCCATATTTTAAAATTAGTTACAATCCTACAGGGTGTTCCATAAGATGGTGGCAGACCAAACTTATGTTTTTTTAATGAAACACCCTGTATTTTATTTTAAATTTGAAATCTGCTTCACTTCCACATTACAACAATGTAAAGTTTTATTATGTTATACAGGGTATTTAAAAAGTTATAACCAATATTACCTGAAAATCGTATCAAGTTTAACTCCCTGTATAATTAAAAAGGATTGTAGGAACATTGATCTATTACAACCATAGTTTTTTAATAATTGTTAAAAACTATAAAACATATTCATTTTCATAATATTCGTTAAATCAAATACAGGGTAAGTCAAAATGCAAGTACAATATTTTCTTGGTAATTTTAAATAGAACACCCTGTATTTTATATCACTATCGAAAAGAACTAATATCGTATTCATATTTTATGAAGTACTCCTTATACCTAAAGTTATTAGTTTTAAAGATATTTTTATTTTTCCATCAAAGTATTAATTTGGTAGATATTTTAACGTTTACCAATAATTATTGTGAGTTAGCCATGATTGATTTGTCAGAAACTGACAGTTTGACATTAATATTTATTAATTCAGTATTGGGGTACACCGTAAATTAGCAACAATTATTATTTAGTAATTCAGTAATTGATTCAATTTAAATTAGCAATAATGAATTTTACTACTGATGAAATGGTAGATATGATCTGGATATTGGGGGAATGCAATAAAAATTCATTACTATCAGCTAGAATTTATCAAGAACGGTTTCCAGATAGGCGACAACCTAGGCAAGATACATTTGAAAAATTGAAAGATCGATTTAACCGCACTGGTTCAGTGAATTATGAAAAACATGAACGAACAAAAACTAGTGTGACGGAGGAAAACGAAATGAGTGTGTTGATGGCGGTTACAGAAAACCCACACACAAGCATAAGGACTATTTCCAATGAACAAGAACTTTGTTACTACTCTGTTCAAAACATTCTATCTAAAAACAAGATGCACCCTTATCATATTCAAAAGCACCAAGAATTAATTAATGATGATTTTCAGAAACGAATAGTATTTTGTGAATGGGCCTTAGAAAAAATTAATGAGCAGAGAGATTTTTTGATTATGTCCTATTTGGTGATGAAGCTACATTCCATCGAAACGGTTCTTTTAATAGGCACAACTTTCACTACTACTCAACAAGTAATCCATACCACATAGTAACACATAGTCAAACAAGATGGTCTCTAAATGTGTGGGGAGGTATCGTCGGTAACCATGTAGTAGGACCATATTTTTTTGAAGATAATTTTAATGTTGAGATTTATTTAGATTTTATCGTAAATCAGTTACCGATATTATTAGAAGAGGTTCCACTTAATATACGTGAAAAAATGTGGTTTCTACATGACGGTGCTCCTGCGCACCACAACGAATTATTAGGTGGTGAACTTAATAATCAGTTTGGGGAAAGATGGATCGGAAGGGATGGACCGGTAAGGTGGCCCCCAAGGTCACCAGAACTCAATAAAATGGACTCATTTTTTTGGGGTTACGTTAAGAACGAAGTATATAAAATACCCCCAACAACAAGGGATGATATGAAAAATAGAATCCGAATTGCATTCAAAATATTTCTTTACAAATGCTTAGTAATGTAACCAACTCTTTCAATGACCGTTTTCAAGCATGCATAGATGTTTTGGGAGGTCATTTTGAACACCTTACTTAAGTAAGATAAGTTAAACTTACTGTTGTTTAATTTTTCTATGTGTTGTTATATATTTTGTTTTATTTTTCGTCGGTTATTTTTTATAAATTTTATTTTAAATAAATTGTTTTCTTTTTTGTGTTGTTATTTCGTTACTAAATTATTAAACAATAATGTCAAACAGTCAGTTTTGACAAATCAATCATAACCAACTCACAATAATTATATTGTGAGTTGGTAAACGTTAAAATATCTACCAAATTAATACTTTGATGGAAAAACAATAATATCTAGAAAACTGATAAATTTAGGTATAGGGAGTAATTTATAAAATTTGAAGTACGATATTATTACTTTTTGATAATGATATAAAATACAGGGTGTTCTATTTAAAATTACCAAGAAAATAATGTATTTGCATTTTGACTTACTCTGTATTTGATTTAACGAATATTATGGAAACGAATATGTTTTATAATTTTTAACAATTATTTAAAAACTATGGGTGCAATAGATCAATGTTCCTATACTCCTTTTTAATTGCACAGGGAGTTAAACTTGATACGATTTTCAGGTAATATTGGTTATAACTTTTTAGATACCCGGTATAACATAATAAAACTTTACATTGTTGTGATGTGTAAGTAAAGTCGATTTTAAATTTAAAATAAAATACAGGGTGTTCCATTTAAAAAAACATAAGTTTGGTCTGCCACCATCTTATGGAACACCCTGTAAGATTGTAACTAATTTTAAAATGTGGAGTTTAAAGCTGCCTACAATTTTTGTTAATAACTTCTTTTAGTAATTTTTACTATAACAGATCTACTGAGCTTCCTCACACTAATCAATCACCCTGTATATATATATATATATACCCACACGTGTTACACTTGTCATAAAACGTTCTTCTTTGAAATGATAAATAATTAACGTTTATACCATTTAATACGTAAATCATATCTACTGATTTACATATCTATAATACAATCTATAAAAAGTGAGTAATCATTATGCTACACGTTTTTGAATTAACAGTCAAAATGTTACCTTTTACGTTCGTTAAATTAAAGTGGGATTACTTTCAGGATTCCCTAATGATGGTTTGATAAGACCGAAACCGTTTTGAAAATTGTAATGCTTTTTTGTATGCTTAAGAAAATAGGATAAATAAGGTATGTCAGAAATATTCTGAAAGACAATAACCACAAGAGAAGAGGATTGGGAAAACTTTTTTATAACAAATATGTAAAAATATTGGCGAAAAATACAAAAACTTAACTAAGAAATAATACAGATTGGCAGTATTTCCTCAGGTACTAATATGTCGTCCATCCAATTTGCAACGTCATACATATCAATTATATGTGGTGTGAGCATCGGAGAAATTAAATAACCCTAGGTACAAAAAAGTAATTATTGAATCGTCCGTGTCCTTTCATTCAAATAATGCTTATACAGCATAACCTAAATGACAAGAATTTACCTATTAACCTATCTGTTCAGTTCTTTGATGCTAACAACTGTGCACAGGTGGTTGCGTTCGATATAAAATTACTACGGAAAAATTTTTTCGTAGCAGATTTGAAGAATGTAATCTGGAAGCTTCGATATAATATATAGAACTAACCTGTACAATAATAGGAAACCTAGTTAGTCTAAATAGAAAATATAACTGACTCAGATGGACAAGGAAGGCATGTGGCTCGATGGCATAACTCTTGAGGGTAATACATACCGGCAATAGCTACTGATCCTTCTAAGGCATATATTGGTTTTGCTTTTTTTCCAAATTGATAACCAACTGTAGTAAGTAATCCATGTTTCGATCTCACTATCTAAAGAAAATACGGTCATTCAAATTTAAGTACATTATACTATAAAATTATACTCACAGAATATCCAGTGTTATATAGTATAAAACACCCGGTACCATATGTACTTTTCGCTTGGCCTGACTTCAAACACATCTGTCCCACTAGGGCGGCTTGCTGATCACCTAAAATCTAAACAAATGATTTTAAAAATGTTTATCGAGAGACTTATTTTATAGTCCAGTTGTCAGAGATTTGACTAAAAATCATGCGAACAAGCTAAATTTTGCTAAAATTGTCAATTTTGGAACCCCAAGTTTACCCCAGACTTCCTCCTAAAACTTCCCTCGTAATGGGGGAAAACGGAAAAAAATTAACTCTACCAAAAACCTGTATACCGTAGAAAAATAGTTCAAATAAAAAATGTAGCTGAGATAGTTTTGAATAAAAATTTTTATTAGCACTTTTTGAGTAAAATGAACCGTTCTCTGAGAAAGAACGCTTGAAGCGACAGGCGATTTTCAACCGTTACGCGCACGAAATTAATTTTAAATGAAATTTGTATTAACTACACTATAAAAATTTGAGTGTCTTGTCGATTAAAATAAAAATGCATTTTAAAGGTAAAATGCACAGCTTTCGTTTATTGCTCTCATGAGAATAAAAAATGCAAAAATCGCACAACTTTGTTATTTAACATCTTTATAAAAACTGCCTTCATTTTTGGCAAAATACAAAAATTGCATACGAAAGCTGCGGTCTTCAAATTTAAAACGCATTTTGAGTTTTATCGATAAGACACTCTAATCAAAAGATGTTATTGATTTCGTGCACGTAACTGACATTCAAAATCGCCGCTCGCTTCAAGCGTTGTTTCTCAGAGAACGGTTTATTTGAAATAAAAAGTAGTAAGCATTTTTGTTCAATTGTTCAGTTACAATTTTTATTTGAAACATTTTTTTCTACGGCATACAGATTGTTGGTAAATCGCTTTTTTCCGCCTTTGCACCCACTGAGTGTAAATTTTAGGGGAAATCGCTGGGGGGTAGTAGTGGTAAACTTCCTTGAATCTTGTTTGCGGTCCAAAAAATTAATATTCTCAGAAAAATTCAGCTTCTTAGTATGATTTCTAAATGTTCAGTGGCATTTTCGTCTCTGACGACTAGAGTATAATTGTTTTTGATAAAGTATTCATTTGTGGCTTGGTAACTCTAAAATAGTAATTGAAATATACCACTTTTACTTGAGAAATTCTTGTTTAAAATGTCTCATCGATGAAAATTTAGACGTATTTTAAAAAATACAAAGGTACCACGTAAATCTGCAATGGCAACTACGTGCACATAAAAATTATCTTCTTAGTATTTAACCTTTGTATATCTTCATGAGTTAATTTTTCCGACGTCCTCTATATTCTGTTATTCACGCATACTCTGACAGCGGAACACCATGGTTGTATAATCACCATAATCTATCTTGTGTGAGTTTGCTTCTACCCCTTTTACCTTACATTTTTCATAGAAAAATTTTCACACAAAAAAAACATTATTTGTCTTCTTTTCTTGATGGTTAGTTGCCTTACTATGGATTACTTTGCTCTTCGGGCCAAACGAGGGATTCTATCCTAACATCTGTGAACCTTTTATCTAACCCATTATTCTGGATAGTTGAGCATTCATCATCTCATTCATATTTATCAGCGCATTGTCAGAAATGAGTTATCAACGACCTTGGTCAGAAGGTAGACACATTGGTCGACAAAGGCGATATATGGATGATTTCTGATAGTTCGAGAAGAACTGATTTCTAGCTAGTCCGCTGAGTAGTATGCTTAAATACCTTGTTGCCCTTTTTGTGATCGGTCCTCTGTGCATGCGAGTAAGCGGGATCTTATGAGCCAATTTAATTTCTACGTTTTTCTGTAAAATTGATTTCCATGTAATTGTGAGTCTTTAAGAATCTTGTATTTAAATTTTTGAAGTTATACTTCTATAAGCGTGTTCGACGTTGGAAATTTGTACGGGAGTGAATGGGCAAAATCATTACATATGTAAGATATAGGTAAGATAGAGAGACAGAAGATATATTTTCGCTCTTTATCTATCGAGAATAAAAATGTTCCCTTTGTAAATATATTCAATATTTATTAATATTATTATTATTTTTCCATTCTGTTCAGATTTGTATTGAGCCTCGTTAGGCATGTTAAATTATAAATTAAAACTGGTAAATATCTCAAAAAAGTTTAAATGTGTACTAATATACGCAACAAACAACAATTAAATTTTGTATCTGTCAATGTCAGACAAATTGACAGTTGTATCACGAAACAATATTTTTATTTACATTGTATTATTATATTATGTTGCAGTGTATTATTATAATTTAATATAATATAATATAATATAATTATATTAGTGTTATATAAATAACAAAATAAACAATGAATTTTACTGCAGAGTATGTGTAAAAATTTTTTTTTGCATTCAACTCATCTTATACATATATAAAAATAAAAACATACATTTTCATCAAAATATTGGTTCAATACTTCATTTACTATACTCCTATTAAAGGTCAAATTTTGTTTATATACAGCAAACGATGCACCGTATACCTAATTCTGTTTCTCTTTCTGCTCTCTCATACTAATAGCATTAAATATGTAATGATTGTGCAAATTGACTCCCATATAAATTTGTAACGGTGAACGCGTGTATAGAAGTCATCGAGCAAAAAGACAAAAGAGGGAATCTAATGCTTATGAAAAGGAAACCAAAAAAGTGGCCTGTGATGGCGGACATACCCGGAAATGCGAATGCGCCAAATTTAAAATTTTCGAAACTTATTAACAGTAAGCTATAAAATATTTTTTAGAATGTGTCTTAGACGAGAAAGTTCTATTATTAAAATAATTAATTAAATTATATAGCTATATAACTAAATTAATAAGTAATTAAATCTTAACGATAATAGTCTAAAATGCGACACAATTGTTAAAGAAATTCAATATAAATAAGATTTCATGTGACAGTTGGGACAAACAATAACATAACCCAAACTTTGATGTCTTAAACAAGGAAAGAGGTCTAACAATATTTTTGCTCCCACTACCTTTACATTCCCTCTTTCGTCTTTTTGCTCGATGATAGAAGTATAACTTCTACAGGCAGTCCCACTTGACTGCCACACCCGTTTTTTGATTGTTTTTCAATTTCTAATGCTTCCTTGATTACACAGTCCTATTTTCCATGTTAGCTAGAGTTGTTTTATTTAAGTTTATTTTATATCCTGTGCTTATGAAATGAGCTGGGGATGACGTATTTTTTAAAGCAGGATAGTTTTACCAATTGGTTTTTCTTCTTTCACTGGGCCTCTGGTTTTGTTTCGGAATTTCTGGCTCTATTCAATTTTAGACGTGAAGAAGCCATTTTTCCTTAGGGCTATTTGTACTTTATACATTTTCTCGTTTTTAATGGGAATGGCAGATAAGTGTAGGGGATGTATATCATTATTAATGTATATCAAGTGACGGACAGATTCTTTTCATCCTCTTTTTGACTCTCTTTCCGCCCATGATGTTCCATGATGTGTAGGATTCTTCTGTAACACCTGAATTGAAAAGTGGTCAATATATTTAGATGCACTTCCTTCTATTTTGGTACACACTAAAAAAGAAGAGTAGGTAGCAGGTAGCACCTAAGCCTACTTGAGCGCAACGCTAACCCTTTATACAGACAACTGTAAAGCTGTTGTCTTAAGCTAAACAGACCAGTTGTCGTACACTAAATTGATCATTGTCATTGTCATTATCCTTCATTATTACTATTATTCATTTCGCCATTGGTCAATATACCCTCCATTGTATCTGAGAATTCACCTTTAAATATTGCAGTAGTTCGATTTCTTTAGTGATGAGTGCCTTAAGAACCGGCAAATAAAGCAAAAGAAAGAAGATAAAATATGTTGTGAAATAAAAAGAGATGAAACTAGTAGAGGGGGAAATCATGGATAGAAACTTAAATTTACATTACATTACATGCATAACTAGCTAGCTGGCTTCAGTCACAATTATTATAGGTATGACGTCGAACGTTACATTTTTTTAATTTAGCCTAAAGTAAAAACTGATGTGAATAATTTAACTTTGGATTAAAAAATTACTAGTAATTAAACTGTTTTTACTTAAATTTGCTTTATTGCCTCCAATCATTTTTACTTTATGCTATATTAAAAAAATATTATTAGGATAAAAAAATTATGACTGAAATTAACTAGCTCATAAGCTAACGTCTAAAGGTGGGAAACTATCGAGAGTCCTAATGTAATGTATTGTAAATTATAGGTTTCTTTTGATAATTTCCCGCCTCTAGCAGTTTCATCTCTATTTATTTCATAAGGTATTATGTTTTCGATCTGTTGCGTTATTTTGTCGGTTCTTAGGGCACTCATCCCTGTATATTCATGAGGAATTATGTTTGTCACGAAGATAAATATTTTTGTTTTTTAATACTAGTATTAAGCTTTTCAATGTCTACCAAACACAAATATATTAAATAAATGCTTTAATAACTTCTTATATAAAATTCTTACTCCAGCAATAGGAACCCCACTCAGTTTCATGTCCATAACTATAACTCCGTATATTTCCGAGGAACTTTTAATTTCTGGCAAGATTTTCATTGGAATTCCAAAAACGTCACATAATTTCTTATCCCATTGTAACGTTTCGATATTCATCAACATTGTCCTGGAAGCATTTGTAACATCTGTGATGTGCATTCCACAATCAATACCTCCAGTTAGATTCTAGAATAATTGAGAAAATAATTATGTATAGTAAAGTTTCAAAATTCTAGGCACTAAATTCTGAGAAATGATAATTGAGTTTTAACGACAACACTGTTGCCAGGTTGTGACTATAGATAATTTATCAACTTATATATTAATTATTCACATACAGTCTAACAGTCATGGAATAATGCATTTTATGTCTGCTTAATGTTTAATATTTTTTATAATAACACTGTATATTTCTTTAAAATTTAAAAAACCTGTTTTTTCTTTAAAAATTTTGTTTAATGATTTTAGTTATTTCAAAATTTGTTAAATAGTATACCTAAGAATCTATTGAACATATAAATTTTCATTATTATCTTGTATTTATGCTTAATTATTTCATTTTGATTATCATTATATTCTAAAAATTATCATGAATAATGGGGGTATATAAACGACTATAAAGTAACTAAAATAAACTTTTGTTTATTTTAATTAATGTAATTAAATATTTCTATAATTTTTTTATAATTATTTAAAATTTTTTAAAATTTTAATAATTTTTGATTATTTTTTGTAATCGTTTTTAATTTTTTAAAACTCTACATAATTTTTTTATAATTTTATTTAAGTTTATATAATTATCCTTAATTTTATTTAAGTTTATTTAATTTTATTTAATTTCACTTATTTAAATAATTTTATTTAATCTTATTTAATTTTATATAATTCTCTATAATTTTTTATAATTTTTTTATAATTTTATTTAATTTTATACAATTTTATTTAATTTTATATTACAGTGTTGTTTGACGTTTCTACTTCCACTCCGGAAATCGTTTTCAAAAAATTTTGAAAACATGTTGTGTTTTTTGGCACTTACCCAAAAATTTGACAGGCCTCTCATGAACTCTCGATTTATCAGGCATATAACCATGCTTTGAGTTGTTTCACCTTTAGGTTAGATTTTAACTTCCATTTTTATGGCTAAATTAAGTTCCAAAAAAAAACGACGTTGTCCAAAAAATCAATGTACTGTTTCGACTAAGTCGAAAAAAAGTTAAAAGAAATACACTCCAAGACTATTTAAAATTTTACCCAAGGATTACACAATACATATTTACAATACGGCAGATTTAAAAAAGTATATTTCCAGATGTCGATATATACACGGAAGCATCAAAGAGCAACAAGAAAGTAGGTGGCGCCATTTGTGATTCACATAATAACCTTAAAAAATCTTTTAAATTTAATGAAAAACTTACAATACAATAAATAAAAACTTACAATACTGCAGAATTAATTGTCATATTAAAAGCTCTCCTATACAGTGCGTCAAGTTTAAAACTTACAATGGTCTATACCTCACGAACGAAAGGTGATATCGAAAAATGCTTGAAACCATTTCTAAGATAGTAAGGGGGAACTAAAATGACATGAAATCACCCTCATCAACCCCCTAGGCGCCACCCACTACAACCAAAAAAGTTTAAACTGCAAACCCCTACTTGTGATACATCATTGAAAAGACTATAAAAAATGCTATCCAATGTTATAAATATTAATTATACAGGATGAAGCAATAATTCTGAAACTTTGCTTAAATGGAGAAATTAACCAGGTTTTTGTTGAACTACAAATTTGTTAAAAGTGTCAATTAAGTAAATGTTCAAATTGGGTTCCGTTGATTTATAAACAATAATAAAGCCTATTTTAAAATTCTGCACGAACTTTGGCAAATGGTCTAGTAATAGCGCGACATGCTTGCGTAATTCTTTCTCTCAATTTCCTAAGTGACGCAGGTTGAGTTTTATAAACAACTAACTTAAGGTAACTCCATAGAAAAAAGTCAGGTGGCGGTAAGTCTGATGACCTGGGTGGCGCTCAATCTAATTAATTTGTACGAATAATTAGTATCCAACCAGTGCCTAACTGGAGCTGCGTACTGAGGAGGTGCTCCATCTGGTTGGAAATGCAGCAAATCTTCGTTTAGAGCTAGGTTGCCTTGATTGTCCCTTTTGGTTCTCTAATTTAGACACAAATAAAGGTTCGATTGTGTTTTCCAACATATCGAGATAAATGTCGCCACTTAAATTGCCTGGTATGAACAAGGTGCCAATTATAGCTTCGCCTAATATTCCTTCCCAAACATTCAGATTTTAACGATATTGAGGGTGACCTTCTCTGAATCGATGCGGGTTCGCATCATTCCAGTACCGACAGTTTTGTTTTTTTACATTATCAGTCAGCATAAAAGTATATTCATCAGTGAAACAAATATTATTTAACATTCACGGTTCAACACGAATTCCTTCAGTCATCCTTCAGTCAAGAAAACTCAATTCGTCGGTCTGGATCATCATCGCCTAGTTCTTAAAGAATTTGTGTTTTCTACGGGTGAAACTTTAACACCTTTCTAATAGTCTCATATGAAAGTCCTGTCATTGCAAATACTTGACGTGTTAATGCAGTAGGCTCTATTGCAAAGTTTCCAAGGACCTCAGTTTAGGATGCTTCATTCAGTAATCTTGGGACATCCCGTTTTATTTTATACTGATTCCGTTTTTCTAAACTTTTCAACTAAATCGCGGACGTACACGTGACTTGCATTTTTGTCCGGATGCTGTTCATGATATATTTGAACTGTTCGTAAATAACACTGGTTCTGCGAGGTAAATATGAAAATGATCTCCATGCGTTCAGATATACTGTAAACCATCGCGACAACTACAGCTGAATGACAGTACCGATCGTACAAATGATAAAAACTAATGACATTTAAAATTCTCAAATGAACCAAAAATTATTGAATTTGACAGATCCCGAAAAACAGATGTTTTTATTTAACAAAAAAAATCAGACGGCCACTTATGATTAAAAATAATAGTCTGGGAGATAGCATTACATATATAAAAGTCATAATAAGCCAGCTGATATTAACACCCTGTATAATTAGTATACAATAATTATACAGGGTCATTAACAGAATCAACAAAAAGCTCATTGAATTTTCCATTTAAGCCAAAGTTTCACAATTATTGCTTCACCCAGTATAATTATTATTTATACCATAGCATTTTTTATAGTTTTTTCAATGATGTATTACAAGTAAACTGAAAGTCAAACAATTAGCGGTGCACGTCATAGATTTAATGACGTCATAACTCAATGGTACAAACTTGACGGCAAACAAATTCAACAAATTTTTCCTCATATATATAAGTATCCTCATTATATATAAGTTTTTTCGCTACCGTTAAGTTTTGCAGGAAAGCGCTGTTGCCAAATAAAAAACATATATGTATTTACCACAGCAATTACCGGCTACATTGTTTCTCTTTGTCATTCAAGAGTGTGAAACAAAGATAACTATATGTACTGTAAGTGTCAAACCCATGTTGTCCTATAGAAGGTTATGTAAGATTTGTTTATAGTTGTGAAGTTGGTTAAAATATAAACCTATAAACTGTCTACAAAACAAATTCTGTTACTTTAGTTTCTCGATTTGATTTCGATTCAATTTTTTGGATATTTTAACTTAATTGTGTTAAAACAAAAATGTCGTCGCATTTGACCAGTCATTGCAAGCAATTAATTGCAAATTTAATTGAATATTTTGAAAGGGAGAAGAAAAACGGTGGTCCATTATTACCACTAGAAGCAATTAGAGAGGTATGTAGATTATTTAAATATATTTAGAAAGTATTTTATTTAGAACACATAATACAATTATGTATACTAAAAATACTGTTTTAGAGAGTTGCATCAGCGTTGAAGTTGAGTATTTCTACTGTCAGCAAAGTTTCTCAATCCGCAAAAGAGAATACACCTTTATGTTCTCCACCTAAGAAAAGACCGAGACCTGTAAAACCGATAACTAATTGCAATAATGCACCTCTAATTCGAAATGTAATTTATGAAATGTATGAAAAAAGTAAGTATATTTTAATATTTTATTGACATATGTAAGACTTTGTTGTCAATTAAATTATAGACTATAGATTAAATTTTTTTTTAGAGCAACATATAACTGTTAAAACTCTTCATGCAGTTTTAGAAGAGAGAGATCTATTTGAAGGTAGTGAATCATCTTTACGGAGAGTACTGCATAAAATTGGATTTAAGTGGCAGAAAGACAATCCACGCCGGGGCCTTCTAGAACTTCGTGATATTGTTTGTAAAAGAATTCAATACTTAAAGGCATATAAACAACTAAGAGAGGAAGATATTTATCAGTTTGTGTTTTTAGACGAAACTTGGATTTTCCAAAATGGCTCAATCAGATATTCTTGGCAAGATAATGATAAAAAAAGTTTGAAAATAACCAAAGTTGATGATAAAATATATATTATTCTTCATGTTGGTAATGTAAATGGATTTATTCATGATGCTGAATTAATATTCAGTTCAAAAGATGCGACTTCAGACTACCATGGTGAGATGAACGAAGAAAATTTTTTACACTGGTTTCAAACCAAATTACTTACAAATTTAACTAAACCCTCTGTTATTGTTATTAATAATGCATCATACCACAGTACTTTCGTCACTAAAATTCCAAATACATCATGGAAGAAGGCTAAGATTCAGCAGTGGCTTATGGAACAAAAACTACCATTCGATGAAAAACTTTTAAAAGCAGAAATGTTGAATATTGTAAATTTAAATAAACCGCCAAAAATTTATAAAGTTGATCAGTTGGCTGAACATATGAGTCATAGAGCTCTACGTCTTCCTCCATATCACTGTATGTTTAATCCCATTGAACATATTTGGGGAATATCAAAAAATTATTATAATCGACATATAGGTAGGGACGGAACAACAAAAAATGACTGTTTGGCCATGTGGAAAGAAGCATTATTAACCATTACTCCTGAAATATGGTCAAACACTATTCAACATGTGGACAAAATCATTTATGACTCTTGGGAAAGAGAGGTACGTTTTGATAGGGATGACATTGCACCTGTGGTTATTAATTTTAATGAAGACGGTGAAAACAGTGACACTGATGAAGACTTAAATTTTGATCAGTAAAAATAAGTATTTTTCTTTTAAGGATCACCATACAGCTGACGAAATCAATTACTCTAACAAATAAAGATCCCTCGTCATCACAACTCTTCAGGTCAGACGCATGCACAAGGATCTGACTATGGTGTACAATCTATTGCACTCCCATAGTTTCAGTCCACAACTGTTAGAAAAAGTTAACCTCCTTGTCCCTTTTATGCAAACCAGGGCTATCAATCCTTTCCAAATTACCCACCATTGAACAAACTACGGATATAATTATTATCTATCTAGGTCTGCTAGGTTTGCAAATCAGTATACAGACAGGTTAGATTGCTTTGAAAAGCAAAGTATTTTAAAGTGCAATTAATATCTTGCACTTGATTCTTTGATGCTACTAGCTGTCTAATTTAGTTTAATCAATTTTAAATTGTAACCTGGTTTTTATTTTGTATTGTTTCTTTCTTTTGTTGGTTTTAAATATTGGCTTTGTTAGTTTTAAATTTCATGACATGTAATAAATTAGCGTTTAAAAATTTTATATTTTAGTATTATAATATTGCAATATTGCATTTAAATTGGGCAACTGCTCGTTGACAAATAAATAAATAAATAAGTAATAAATGCAAAATCTTGGAAAACAGAAGATCTTGTTAATTATCTGACAGGGTAAATAAATATATGAAAAAATACCTTTAAGAATATTCTTTTCTAGATATTACTTTCAGAATGAAAGAAGAATCAAAAGTATTAGGCTCACTGTATGGAGTTTGGAAATAAATATGATATAATAGCTTAAAACATTTAGTAGAAACATTACTTGAAAAAACAGATAAGTAAAAAAATCTAAAAGGTTTTATTCACATTCTACTTGCCCATAGATATTCCTATAATAAATTTTGTTCAATGTGTAGAGTATACCATATATGTAATGCAAAATACATGTACTGTAATATATATTTGTATTGTCATCATGTTGTTTGTAATATTTTGTAAATATACATATAAAACATAACTGTGAATTTCATTTCTAAGCATAGTTGTAAAACATATGTTTATGTAATTTTAATCAAAAAAAGGAAGAAGAGGTCATAATGCAACATTTCATTTTGCTTCCATAGTTTCAATATTACCGTTTTTATGTTCACACATTGTCAGCTTAAGAACACACCACAAACTAGGAGAAAAATTGCTTAAGAAATAAATGTCTAAAATATAATTTGAAAATAATATTTTCACATATTTAAGCTCCACAATAAAAAGATTATTTTAGATCCATAGAAATATCAGTGTATCATAAAATTTCAGGCCAATGTTTTTTAAATGCATTAATTTTTTTCGAATTCTGAAAAAACTAATAAATATTTTTCAAAAATTTAAACACAGAACGAAAAATTATTAACGATGGCCGAAAGTCCCTTAGAAACAAAAAGTTTCTTTTGAATGAGATATTTGTAATTAAAAATAACACTAAATTTTATCTTTCTTTTTTTCACCACTGTAACTTTTTAAAATAAACATTATAGAAGTTTTTAGGGGATTTCGGCCCTCGGTAATAATGTAGTCCTTCATTCTGCGTTAGAATTTCTCAAAAATACTTATTAGTTTTCTCAGGATTCGAAAAAAATTAATGCATTTAAAAAGCATTTAGCCCATGGACGTATAAACATAGATGGACACAGCAATACGATACCTTTAACACACAATGTTTTGAAGCTTCGATAGAATGTGATGCTTCCGCAATGAGTAAAAGCGTGCTTGAATTTTTACTCGCGGGTAATTATTCAGATTTTAAAAATTGGAAGTACCTAGTAATAATGTATAAAAACACGTTCAAAGAATTAAAAAAAAACGAGAATTTAACTATTAACAAATCACGTCTTTATAGAAAAATTAAAATACAATTTTATTATATCTTATTGAATACATTAATGAACATGAATAAATATTATTAAAATGATACTTGATATTTTGATTATAAAATACTCCGTATAAAATACGGAGTAATATTTTCAGCGACTCGCGAATAAGAATTTTTAATAAAAAAACGTGACAACAGTTGGAGGTGCTGAGAATGTGACATATTCAAATAATTTTGACTTCACAATTTTATGTAAATAACTGAGTCCATCTGTGTTTATACGTCCATGATTTAGCCCGAAATTTTGCGCCTCTATAATCTTAACTTAAAAATTTTTCTTATTCTTTTTTGATTCCAATATTATGACAGACGTCAGTTACAATTTACGATTCTCACTTCATCTAATAATGACGTCATATAAACTCGTTACTAGTTCTAGCCAATGAAATGCTCGGTGTAATAGGAGTGATATGTCAAGAAAATCTGATTATTCCCTATCTATTTGTTCAAATTTAAAATATGGCAACAAGGGAAAAATTGTGTGCAACTTTTATTGTTTGACTTTGACTATAATAACTTTTTTGGTTGTAGCGGGTGGGGCCTGCTGTAACTTTCAAAGTAACTTGAAAGTTACAGCAGAATCATTTGCAATTTGTTTGGATAGTAAAAGTGCTGTTATGAAAATAAAAAATATCCACCAGGTCAATAGTAATTATCTTTTAACAAATTTAATAATGTCTCCTCCACAAAATAATATTTTCTCTTTCTACAGGAATTTTGTTCCTATTTCTTTTCAGATATTTAATGCTCATTTACCTTAATCTTCGCAATAATACATGTCATGATATTTTGGGTAACAAATCGTCAGAATTTATTTAGACTGCGACTTTTTTCAATATTGGAATTTCATTTCGAAAAAAGAAAGCATGGACTTGTCTCCGAATAGTATACTTGATTTCATCTTTAAGCTGAATGCATATTCTTCCTCCGGTTTCCATTTTTTCAACAGACGTATGCAACTTTGCCTTATCTTTAGATTCTTTTAGAATTCTGTAAACACATCTTGTAGACAGTTTAGTCCAATTACTACAACCGGTAACAAGGCCATTCACCAACAGATTTTCATTCCTTTTACGGAGTCAACAAGATACGTTGAATATAATATTTTTCACCTTCCGAAAAATATTACCGACGACGTTTTCTTTAACTATTTTCGTCTTCCATATTTGTCAGAACACCATAAAAACGCTTTTACCGTTCCAGGTTACATATTGTACTTGTGTACTTCAGTAATAACAACAACAAAGTCGTTATCAATAAATCAGTTGTTGATAAACAATATAATGGAAATTCGCAAACAAAGTGAAGCTACGTTTGAAATTTTACAGGAGCAGACTAAAACATCTAATGTTTTATGTTTCAATGTAAGTGTAAATAAAAACAATAATATATTAAATGATATGATATAAATTACATAAATTCTTTTTTGTCTGAAGTATGAAAACCTCTGAAGTGTGAAAGACACACAGTGTGTATCATTCACTATTGTATGATTTTTATAGCGGCAAATTATTGTCACATAGGTATCAGGGATGGTGATACTACAATCTGGTTAAAAAACATATTATCTTGACTATATAATATTACATACTATCTTGATATATTGAAATAAATAATATTTCAGCTAAAGAATATTTAAATAAAATGTTTATATACATACATAATGCCTCGCGACAGTCAGATAGCCAAGCGGTAAAATCTCGTTCGTATAAAGTACACTATTTATTATAAAGATTTGTAAAAGAGAAAAAAGATCATCAATTATAGGTTTGATGACTTACCCATATTAACCATGTATCAATATTTCCAAACAAACACCTATCTTCATCTATTGCTTTCTTAACTCCCGGAACATTATCCATCATCCATTTAATTTTAAGAGCACTGAAATATGTACTAACAGGAAGACCGCATATATTTTGAAGAAAATCTTGTCGCCGCTTACCATTTTTTAATATTTCATCTACTGTACTAGACGTTCTAATATCCATCCATACTGAAAATAAAAATATTTACATACTAAAATTCTATATTCATAAAAAAATTATTATTGGAAAAATTACAAAACAAACATAAAATCTAAACTAATATACTAGAAACCCGGACGTAGCGGGTCCTAAGCAGCGAAAACGGACAATGAATATAGGATGTTGGAATATAATGTAACCTCGGAAACCTTTTTTGGATTGTGCTAGAAAGATCACCAACGGAGACACTGCGGATGGCAGCCAGATGGTTGGTGGAGAGCGGGCAGTGGGTTCGAAACTAGCTTTTGGAACCGGAAATGGGTCCAACGTACGAAATAAGTAAAGATAGAATAGAATAAGATATATTAAAAAAGATACAGAAATAAACAAAAAGATAGATGAATAAAACTACCAGAGATAAGATAAGATAGAAAAAGGGCGCCACTTAATGTTTTGGAGCTCAAGGGAAAATTAAGAAAATAAAAGAGATAAGGAAAGATATTGAGGTTCTGAGACCAAATCCAAGAAAATATATCAACAGTTAATTATTAAATAAATTTGGTCAACACACTACCTACACAAATAATAAATATAATTAATATCATATAATATATATTGGACTCCGTCCACCTACTTACCTATGAAACTTAATCAGCCTGATCTTTCTTCTGGTCGAAGGTATAATAATAATTTAAGGTAAAAAGCAAATATTCAGAGTTATTATTTTATTAATTATAATTAATTAAATTAAAGGTAGTTTATACCAATATTTAATCTAATATAGTATTAGATTAAAAAACTCAAACATTTAAGTGTATACACACTTGGAGAAAAAATGCACAGAGAACGGTAATATACGCTAGCGTCTTTACTCAAAGATCGCCCGACCAGAAGTGATATTCTTGCTCTCCAAATCTACCAAGCTTCCCAAAATAAGGTGAAATATCTCGCACTTAAAAATAACTGGCCAGCCTGTATCTATTTCTAAGAAGACAAAAAGGTTCTAACAAACATTAGGTTCTCTCAGAAAAATACTATCACGTGCTTTGGACGATATTTACCGAATGTGTCAAAAAGAACCCGGCTGCCACTGGAAAGGATTACCCAAGAAGATTCTTCCGTAATTTGAGAAGTCGGTAAGTTCCAATAAAATTTAACAAACTATTTGCGAATACGACCATCGGCGTCTCAGCAACAGGGGTAAAGGGACTAAAAATTAATAAACACTTTAATTATAAGAAAAATGTTACAATACAGAGTATAAACAATAAATACCAAGAAATTTTTACAGAACTAAAACAATGGAAAATGGACATAGCGGTACTTACTGAAATAAAGAAAACAGGCCAAGAAAACGAAATAATAGAAGACTATGTTCATTACTACAGCAGAGTAAAAAAAGACCAAAGAACAAAAAGGGGTGTCTCTGTGGCAATATGAAAAAAATGGAAAAAAAATGAAAATGAGGTCTTTTGAAAATGCATTGAATTCAAGAACTCCTACTTACTAGCAATTCCTACCTCCTACAAGAAAATGAAGATTAGATTCAATAGACCAAATTCCCTTGGATATTAGAAAAACTGTGGAAAAGATTTACCAAAACGATAAGATAGAAGTTACCATATATGGACAACTTAAGGGAACTATATACACAGGTAACGGCAATACCTATGCTCTTCAATTTAATGACGAAATGAAAACAATTAAAACACTCGATTACACAGAAGACGCAATATTAACAGCCTAATATGAAGACATTTTCCAAACACTTGTCCACAGATTCAACACACGAGCAAAATCATTTAATATGAAGATTTCAACTCAGAAAACCAAAATACCAATGGTAATCAGTAAAAAACCATGCAGATGTAAATTAGAAATAGAGATCAAGTATAAAGGGCAAATATATTTAAAATTAGTGGTCTGCAGATGATTATGAGCGTTTTGTGGCTTTAAGAAATCAGTGTGATATTTTAAGAGCAGACTTTCTGAAACGGTATTTAGAGAGGATACAAAACAACATTTCCGATAATCCAAAATCTTTTGGCTGTGCATTAAAAGCAGAATAAATGGGTATATTTACCATCTAGAATGGTCTATAGTGAAAGGGTTGGCTTAACTGTCAAGGACTCTGCCAATATGTTCGCAGAATATTTTTTATCAGTCTTCTTCTCATCAATACATTTCAGAATTTATTAGTGGCCATACAGTTAGTTAACTTGGGGAGTGATACCTTAATTGAAGGACTGAGTGGTCCTGTTTTATTTTGCTTGCCTCTGGTCTATTTATTACAAAACATCAAAAATTGAAGTGTTCTTATATTTGCTGACGATGTAAAACTGTTTAGAAAAATTCAATCCTGGAATGATGCTGTTTTATTATAGGAAGAACTTGTCGTTTTATGCTTGGTGCAGTTTAAACAACATGAGGATTAACATAAAACAAACCCAATAGAATACAAGCGAATCAATAAAATCATTAGAAAAAAGTGCAGGGAGGCGAAAGAAAACTGGATGCCAACAAAATGCCTAGAAATCGAAAAACTTCAAGAAAAATACGACACCTTTAATATTCATAAAAAAGTAAAAGAAATGACAGGTAGACACAAAAAGAGACAAGCAACAATATTAAAAAATAAAAATAACGAAATAATTATGGGCACAGAAGACAAACTAAAGAGATGGAAAGTATACATACAAACTCTTTTTGATGACGATAGACCTTGTTCTCCACCATCCCCAGATAATCGAATAAATGAAAAAGGCCGAGAAATAACCAAAGAAGAAGTGATTCACGAAGTAAAATCTCAGAAAGATGGAAAAGCTACCGGTTCAGACAATATCAATGTCGAAATACTAAAACTAATTGCAGATAACGAAAGTAAAAGCCTAGACTTAATAACAGCACTATTCAATAAGATATATGACACAGGTAAAATACCAACAGACTGGCTAAAATCAACATTTGTAGCATTACCAAAAAGATCGAATTCCTCACAATGCGATGATTATCGAATATTAAGCTTGATGTCTCATGTCCTTAAAACTTTTCTCAGAATTATACATACACGAATTTACAAGAAGTGCGAGTTTCAGATGAGTGACACTCAATTCAGATTTCGAAACGGATTGGAAACATGAGAGGCTCTGTTTGCTTTAAATGTGTTAAAGCAACAATGCAGAGAAAAAAAAAAGAAATACTATCAAGAATCGAACAAGCAAGGAAAACATTCATGAGCATGAAAACATTTTTTACAAAATCTGACCTTAATCTGCAGCTTAGAATCCGAATGATTAGATGTTACGTTTTTTCTGTCTTACTGTGAAAGTTGGACAATGGACTCTGAAATAGAAAAAAGAGTAGATGCCTTTGAGATGTATATATACAGACGAATATTGAGAATTCCATGGGTACAAAGAGTTACTAATGTTGAGGTATTTCGTCGAATGTGTAAACAAAAAGAATTACTAGGAATAATCAAAGAGAGGAAAATGCAATACTTGGGTCATGTGTTGAGAGGCGAAAAATATCAATTACTTCAAGTTATACTGGAAGGAATACCAGTTATACTCTTCTACAATCCCAGTAGAAGACAGGCTGCTACAGGGATTAGTGACCCTGCCTTATGCTAGCTTCTGGTTCTCCCTCCTTCCTTGCCTGAGGGAACCAGGTTCTCATACCCTTTTCCTATCCCCTCCTTTTAAAACTCCTACCTTCATCCTACCCTCTACCAACTCGCACTGGCCAGCGCGGTAGAGTATGGCTAAAATCCAAGCATGTTTGTCACGACAAAAACACGGCCCTCAGTCCCGGCAGTGAGCTGATCCTTGGTCAAGGTAGCGATCAAGAAAGACAGCAAACAGAGGGTGCGAAGAATCCCCGGGTCAGATCAGGCTACCACGGACGATGACAAATGTATATCGCCACGTACAATGTAAGAACACTGTCATCTGAAGAAAAATTACTGGAATTAGAAGAAGAGTTAAAACACATAAAATGGGACGTTATAGGTCTCTGTGAAGTAAGACGTGAAGAAGAAAACTGTATAACTCTTAAATCAGGACATCAACTTTTCTATATGGGAAACAAAGAAAAAATAGGAGGAGTTGGACTTCTTATACATAAGAGACACACTAAAAATATCCAACAACTTAAAGGTATCAACCCAAGAATAATACTCTGCATACTGAAGCTTAATAAAAAAACCAGCCTTAAAATAATTCAAGCCTATGCACCTACATCTACACACTCGGACGAGGAAGTGGAAACCTTTTATGAAGACCTAGAAAATGCTGTAAAACTAGCGCCTACTACACACAACCTAGTAATGGGTGACTTTAATGCTAAGTTGGGATGTAAACTAGACGGGACCGAAGTAGCAATAGGTCCCTATGGATTCGGACAAAGAAAGGAAAGAGGCGAAATGTTTTTGGGTTTCTTGGTACGAAATGGCCTCTTTGCAATGAATAGCTTTTTCAAAAAAAGTCCCCAAAGAAAATGGACCTGGACAAGTCCAGATGGAGTCACCAAAAATGAAATTGATTTTGTCTTAACCAACAACAAAGACATGATCCATAATGTAACAGTTCTTAATAGCTGTTCAGTGGGAAGTGATCATAGAATGGTAAGAGCGAAGATCGTGCTAAATCTCCAAAAACAAAGATACAAAATGATAACAAAAACACACCCAATAGAATGGAATCCAATCGAAAACACCATGTCCTTCGAAGAGGAAATTCTGAGATGTCTAGAGACAACAAATATAGACGTTATGGATATCGAAACCTTAAATGATAACTTAATAAAAGCTATTAAGAACGCAGAGAAAAAGTGCAATACAAATTCTAGGAGAGATAAGGAGGAAAAGCTCAGTCAAGAAACAAAAAGACTTATGGAGGCACGAAGAGAACTTAAGAACAAAAACGATACGAATGCACGCGTACTACAACAACTTAATAAAGATATTAATAAAGCAGTGAGAAAGGACGTACGACAATATAACACAAAAAAGATTACAACGGTTGTCGAGAAAACTAAAAGTTTAAAGGTGCTGAAGAGATGTCAAGCTCTAGGTAAGAAGAACATTGTTAAGCTCGCAGATCGAAATGGAAAAGTGGTAACAGATAAAGATAAGATAATTAAGGTAGTTGAAGAATTTTACACAGAATTATATAGAGAAAGGGGGAAGAAAGACGGCACCAAGTTGAGAAAAGTCCAGAATGTGGGTTCAGAGGATATCCCAGAAATAACAATCGAAGAAGTCTTAAAGTCATTAAATAGAATGAAAAACAATAAAGCAGCTGGTGATGATCAAATCGTTATTGAGGCAGTTAAAGCAGGAGGAAAGACAGTATTGAAAGCATTGACGCAATTATATAACTTATGCCTTTCAAACGAGGTTACACCATCTCAGTGGAATAAAGCTGTTATAGTAGTCATGCACAAAAAGGGAGATATAACAGAGCTAAAGAACTATAGACCTATTAGCTTGTTATCTCACGTTTATAAGTTGTTTATGAAGATAATAACTAATAGGTTGACATCAAAACTAGACTTCTATCAACCTAGCGAGCAAGCAGGATTTAGAGCTGGATACGGAACAAATGATCATTTGCAAACCATTAAGTCGTTGATTGAAAAAAACGATTGAATATAATAGACCCCTGATACTTGTCTTTGTCGACTTTGAAAAAGCATTTGATACAGTCAATCAAAGTGAAATGCTCCAAGCTCTAACACAATGTAGAATAGATCACTGATACATATCTCTCATCAGATACATCTATCAACATGCTACAGCCTGAGTAAGACTTAATGAAGATACTGGGACTTTTCGTATTGAAAGAGGCGTTCGGCAAGGACACAACATGTCTCCTAAATTATTTACAACTTTGCTAGAATACGCTTGTAAAACAATAGATTGGAACGAAAAGGGCATCAATGTAGATGGAAAATTTTTAAATAACCTTAAATTTGCAGATGATATCGTTCTTATTGCAGACAGCTTTGATCAGGGACAGATAATGCTCCAAGAACTCCATACTGCCACAAAAAGAGTTGGTCTAAAAATAAATTTTTCAAAAACACAATTTATGACAAATTTAGTCCACAACAAAAACATCTCAGTAGAAGACAAAGATATTGAGCCAGTTGACTCCTATAAATACTTAGGCCATGAGATCAGAATAAGTCGAGACAACCAAACAATAGAGCTGAAAAGAAGAATAAACCTCGCTTGGGCTGCATTTGGAAGGATGAAGGATATTTTTAGGTCTAAGATTCCAATGTGTCTGAAAAGAAAAGTATTTAATCAATGTATTTTGCCAGTGATGACCTACGGCGCAGAAACCCTAACGCTCACAAGAACAACAGTGAGTAAACTACAAGTTGCGGAAAGAGCAATGGAGAGAATTATGTTAGGGATTTCTCTACGTGATAGAATACCCAATGCTACTATACGCAAAAGATCAGGAGTAGCAGACGTTATTGAAAGGATAACAACACTAAAGTGGAACTGGGCAGGTCATGTAGCAAGATCAGTTGATGACCGGTGGACAAAAAGAATTTTGGAATGGAGACCCCGAATACAAGCTTACAGAAATAGAGGTCGACCCCCAACGAGATGGACAGATGACATAAAAAGAGTGACTACAAATTTGATTCAGATGGCGCAAAATCGGACTAAGTGGAAAAGCATGCGAGAGGCCTATGTTCAACAGTGGACGTTAGAGGCTAGTTGATGATGATGATACTGGAAGGAATAGTACAGGGCAAAAGATCAGTAGGAAGACGCCAGAACTCATGGCCGAAAGACCTAAGGAGATATTTCGGACGCTCATCCGCAGAAATCTTTCGCGCAGCAGTTTCCAAAACCACAATTGCCATTTAGATCGCCAACCTTCGAAAGGAGACGGCGCCATGAGAAGAAGAAGGTTTAACATAAACAAATGTCATAAAAAGACATTTTCGCACATGCAAAGAAAACCAATTACATTTATTTACTCTACAAATAACTTGCAATTAGCCTCTAAAGAAGAAGTATTAGACTGGGACATCTGGTTAGACACCAAACTGTCATTCTCAAGCCACATCAATCAAGTAACAAACAGGCGATGAAAGTACTGGGATTTACTCAACACACATCTGTAGACTTGTCTTTGTTCACATTTAGTAGACTTTATCGCTTTACATGAGCCCCATCATACAACTATTACATTGAACATATTGAAAGGTTAAAAAATAATTTTTTGAGGATAGCAGCTTTCTGGAGTCGATCTGGGGAGACGAATATGACTATCAGTGGGTGGGTACAGACAGTCTTGATTTGAACACTTGAGTCAAGGAAGACATTGTTAGATTGTCGTCAATTGTTATCACTCCTAAGTTTTAAAGTACCTACTAGAAACAACAGACAATCGGAAATCTTTTCAGTGCACACTAATTATGGTATCAATGAAATGACTACACAATTGGTCCTAGCCTGGTTACCGCACGCGTCTCGATATTTAGAATCACGCTAAATATTATTTCGGGTCCGTGCAAAAACATCATACTTAGCGATAATAATCACTTCAAAAAGGTAATGCCAAAATAGGAAACGGAGCGGTGAAAGATATTGTAGGACATTTTGGCTTAAGAAAATGGAATGAATGAGGAGATATATTGGTACAACTTTGCCAGTAAAAATAATTGTTAACTAAGAACACATATTACGACCTCCAAAACATAGAATACACAAGACAAAAACAAAATGTACTTAGTTCAAAACCAAATTGATTATATGATGACAAATTAAAAATTCCAAAACAGAGTTAGAAGGGTAGCCGCTTACCCTGAGGCAGACATTGGCTCTTATTCGTATTATAATTCAATAATTAGAACACTGTACAATATTACCTATAGCATTACATAAAGGCAGTCCAGTATTTTTATCCCACAAAACTGTTGTCTCCCTTTGATTTGTTATTCCAACACTTACAATATCTGCATAATCAATATTTAATTTTTCTAAATTATCACAGGTAACTTCTATAGTTTCTTTTACAGCTTGTAGGATAAGCATGGGATCTTGTTCAAACCACCCTTCTTTAGGTACAATGGAAGGAATGTCTACTTGATGGTAAGTAAGGACTTCCGCTGTTTTGGAAGCAAACACCTAAAAATATAGTAAGATTATTGTTTAATTATGTTAAATACTTCACTTTCTTTAATGGATATTTTTAAATTAAAGCAGGTTATGCAATAAGGTTTTTTGGGTGGGAAGGTCAGTTACTCCCAAACAATTATATATAGCCCAACTTCTAATTTATAATTTTCTGCATTTTTACAAACAACAATTTGAAAAACAACCCCCTCTGTGGCTCAGTGGTAAGAGCGCCTACCTTTGAACCTAAAGTTTGTGAGTTCGAATCCCACCTGGGTGGAAATTTTCGTTTATTAAAAATTAATAAATGAAAATAATTTCTATCCTTGTGCGATCGGTACTCACCAGAGGGACCGCAGACGTTCGGATACAATTAGCGTTTCTTAGCAAAGACAATGACGTCGACTTTGCTAAGTATCAAGACAATTACTCTACACACACACACACACACACACACACACACACACACACACACACACACACACACTACACTAGGTACCTGACTGTACCATGCCAATGATCATAGTTGTCGAGGCATTAACTCAATAATAAAAAAAAAATTGAAAAACAAATTTAAGCAGATTTGTTAATCTTTTAATGTAAGCTGAAGACATTTTCCAGTAATATAATGCAACTTCTACATAAGGTTATTCAAATTAATCCTCATTTGACTATGAGTGTTTGTAGTTAGGTAAATGGGGAGTGCAGCAAATGCAGAACAAATTTGATCATTTATTATGATGAGCCAGTGTGTGGCTGCCTGTGATTTGCTCAATAATCATGGAGTAAATATGTGTTCTATTACTAAACTATTATTACACTGTTCTATTTATCCATAGATTGTCCCCTGTCAGCTATTAGATCGCATTGTACCCTAGTTAAAATCATCCTAACACTTTTCATAAACCTCTGTTTAGCACAGCTCCTTCTAGGGGATTATGCTCATTGTTTTGACTCACCAGCATATTGCCAATGCCCAACATATCACATAACAGCTATTTAATTTAGACAAAACATGTTCAGGTATTCATCACAATACCATAACTACCAAGAGAGAATTTAAGTTACATTACAAGGACCTGCAGAAAGTAGTACCTAAGTATGTGATAGCTAATATTTTTACAAGAGAAAGATACACTCAAATACTTTTAGAGGTAAAGGAAGTGAAAGCTTGTAAAACTAGTGAAGATACAATTTCGTTGAAACTAAAGAGAGAATTAAAAAGATATAAGTATTTTAAAAATTGATGGAACTGAGAAGCTCATAAAGTGGAAAGTAGGTAAATAGTAGGAAGGTACGTAGGTAGCTGTGGTATTTCTGTTCTACCAAAGAATTATTTGCCATTATAATTCCACTCATAGAGGAAAAGCATAAAAAATTATGAGGTTTGTTATTTTTTTTGCACTTTCATTGAAAATAAGAGAAAACATTCTAACATACCATGGAAAAGAATTTTGATGTATTTATTATTTTGCAAGCAGTGTCAATTGAAACAGAAAGAACAAAGAAAAGATTTAGTGGTAAACCCAATTTTAACAGAGTTAATTCATGCTGTCAATTAGATCTAATTGTTGTTTAATTGTTGTTCATTTTAGAACTGATCTTATTTTTAAAATGTTAATATGATACCTACACAATAAACAATAACAATATTTTTCTACATTACATCACTTTAGATGTTTTGTTTGTGTTGGCAATACCGTGAATGCCAGAAGGCTTTCATGTTGACATGTTAAAGTCAGTATACATTTTGGACATTGTAACAGGTCTAGAACATGTTCTGGTTTACATTTACAGCTGAAAACTGATGTTTGACACATTGGGATATGCTGGCAACTGTAATTCATTTTGGTCATATTTTTTACCATTGTCTGAAATCAGTTTTGATAATAATCATTGAATTCTGGTGACCTGAGTACTTAATGTCTTAATGCCTCTTAACTCATACATTATAATATATTCTAAATATTTTAAAATTGTCAATAGATTTCAAGACACACTGCTAATCTCCAATACTGGTACTTCAACTCCTTATGGGTGATTTCATCTTTTTGTTACTTTGTCTGAATCCTCAGGTTTAAACTGATATTCCAATCTTTTAATAACCTTTTAAGTAGTTCCTCTTTGCATTCTCTCTACCACACATTAAGCCTAACTCATCATTCCAAGAGTACCTTACTGACTTTTCCCAGAGTGTATCAAATACAAGTTTATTAATTCTGTTCTCTTCTTTAATGTTTTTCATACCTTTTCTTAATTTCCTTAACAACTGGCAACATTTCAAATAAGACAAAATTATTATTTATGATATTATTTTATTATTTCTTCAATCCACTTTATACAATATTAATTGTTATGTTGTTACCCAATATGATAAGAAGCATAATAGGTATAAGACTAAACAAATGAAAAATAATGTTACTCATTGAAAAAAATATATATTATATAATAAGAAATGTGAGCAATGAAGCAGGAGGAAAACTACTAAAATTTTGAGCCACTACATAGGTTAAAAAGACATGGAACATTCTAACAAAGAATATAGACACATGGGTCTATATTCTCGATATGTGTATATATTCTTTGATTCTAAGTTATTCTCATTTATATTTCCTTCCGTTATGAATAATGGATAATATTCATTTTAATATTTTGATATGGAAAATAGCATTCAGGATATATTAAAATGTTTCTTATAAATGTATTGAACTTGTAATTAGGTAATATGTGTTTTTGTACTATTAGAGGCTCTCCTACCAAAACAGTGTGAGTTCAAATCAATATTTTCTTTACAGACGAATTTTAATAGAATTAAAAAACTATATAAAAGCCAGATTAAATAGGTAGTTTCTGTAATAACTTCAGTTAACTTGTAATAATACATAGTAAGTAAATTTGTAAGTGATGTTGAACCTTGTACTTTAGTTTACATTATAAAATTAATATTAATTGCAGGTTTACAACATTTTAAGTGCTACAAAGTGTTTATAAATTTTATTACACAAAATAAACTTTTACATAAGTAATATAGTTATTTACTTGTTGCAATAAATAAATAATCGGCTTTTTAAGGTTATGTCATAAATTTTGTTACTTACAAGAAACCTAGTGCTTGAAGTTCCTTCATCTATTGCTCCGATTAATGGACCATATTTCCTTCTAGTATCGGTGCTCATTATTAAATAATTCTCGTTTTCTTCTGACGAATCACTATTTGAATCTGAAAACATTTACTGAGTAAATATAACCAAACAAACTGTCAAAAATCATAAATAAATAGTAGAAAGTCAAAAATAATGTCATTCATGTCAATAAAAGCCATCGAGTTAGAATCGATGACAGAGATTCAAAAACCGAGGTGTCGAGTATTGAGTACTGTACTATCGATGGATTTAATTATCGAATATCGAAATAATCGGCAAATTAAAGTGAATAATTAAAATAAGTTTTTTTTTTATTTTAATGTGTCTCAGCTGCAATGGCCATTGTCACAAACAATATTGTGTACAATAATTACAATAAACACATGTTACTAATTGCTACAGTTAATCTATAAGCTTAGAACCTATGACTAAATAATACAACATTTACCTTTAGTTTTATCACTATTAACTTTTATCAAGTTATAAGTTAAAGGTAAAGTACATGAAAAACAATGTATTTCAAGAAACCAATTAGGTTAAAGACTTAATCGGGCCAGTTTAAAACGTCTTTGATATTTGACTTAAGTTTATGTTGCACTCTGTGTTTTCCGTACCGCTACCGGGGACACTCGATCAGGATATGTTTTACAACATTTTTACAATTATTAATCCACTTGAGCAGATTTGGCAATTGGGCTTCGGCTCGGATTTCATTAAATATTAATGTGTGAATCGGGTATATCCTACTCTTAATCTTCGGATGACAGCTTTTTCGTTTCTAGACATTTTTGGAAGTTCAAATTTTTCAACAGTCTGCCCGATCTCATATAATGCACTCTTGATTGTGTTCCAGTGGGTTTGCCAGGTATGACACTTGTTGCTTGAAATTTCGCTTTAGGTAATTACGGATTTAAATATGTTGAGCTTTTGAGGATTGACTGTTTACACAAGAAGCTTGCTTGGCTGCTTCGTCTACTTTTTCATTACCGGGGATGCCGGCATGGGATGGTAGCCAGATGATCGTGACATCTACACCTTGAAAAGCGAGTGCACTGTAAGTCCTATGGATTTCTTGAACTTAAGGAATGCTGAGAGTATAGACTTTTTATCGATTGTAGTGACGACAGGGAGTCTGTGCATATTGCTTGGTTTTTATAATCTGTTTTAAGTTATTTAAAAGCCTCTAGTATCGCATAAAGTTCTCCAGTGTACACGCTGCATAAATTCGGTAAAAAAGATTGTTTTATTACTTCATCATGTGTGGTAACGGCACATCCAACGCCTGCTTCGCTTTTGGAGGCATCTGTTTACAGAATTGTTTGGAATTGGTTCTTGCTTATGATTTCTTTGAAGTGTTGCCTTATGAGCTAGAAGGTTTGAGGTTTCATGTTTACTGTATTCTAATAGAGAAGTGATTGAATGTGGGATTGGTCTATTCCAAGGCGGAGTATCCAGGATTGGGAAGGGATGTGTTTTAGTAAGGTAGATGGTTTTTCTTAGAGTTAATTTCTGGATATCTATTATTGATTGGATCCTCTTCGGATGCGATGTTAAAGTAATTAAATGGTAGACTGGATTGGATGGGTTTGCAGATACGGAAGCAAGGTAAGATTAAAAGAAGATACTCTCGTCGAATCGAGAAAGGTGGTTCATTAGCCTCGCAGTAAAGGCCATCTATGGGACTAGATTTGAAAGCGCCTAAGCAAAGACGAACAGAGAGTTCAGTAGCTTTAAGTCAGATTTTGATGCAGACATGTATATGAAGCTGCCGTAGTCCAGTTTTGAGCGAATTAAAGTTCTATATATTGTAACCTCGGTAATCTTTTTTAAATGGTGCTAGAAAGATAACCAATGGAGACACTGCGGACGGCAGCCAGATGGTTGGTGGAAAGCGAGTCGTGGGTTCGAAACTAGCTAACGGACGAAATAAGCAAAGATAGAATAAGAGATATTAGAAAAGATACAGAAATAAACAAAAAGATAGATGGGTAAAACAACCAAAGATACGATAAGATAGAAACAGGGCGCCACTCAATTTTTTGGGGTTAAGGAGAAAATTAAGAAACCTTAGAAAAGAAAAGAGATCAGGAAAGATATTTGGGTTCAGATATCAAACCCAAGGAAAGATACCAACAGTTAATTATCAAATAAATTTGGTCACCACAATATATAAACAAATAATAAACATATTACTTACATACGAAACTTAATCAGCCTGATCTTTCTACTGGTCAAAGGCATAATAATAATTAAAGGTAAAAAGCAAATATTCAGAGTTACTACTTTATCAGGGAACTTGTTAGGAGCCGACACATAAAATACATACATAAAACTTCTTCTTCTTTCAGTGCCTATTCGTTCCGAATATTGGCAATCATTCTGGCTATAATTATTTTATTGACTGATGCTTTAAATAGATTCGTTGTTGTTGTGGAGAACCATTTCCTTAGGTTCTTCTACCATGATATTCTCTTTCTCCCAATTCCTCGCTTTCCGAATACTTTACCCTGTAGGATTACCTTCAGTAATCTGTATTTAGTGCTGTTTCTCATTATATGTCCGAGATATTCCAACTTTCTCCTTTTAATGGTATACATCACCTATCTTTCTTTGCCCACTCTTCGTAATACGGTCTCGTTGGTTATCTTGTCTGTCCATGATATCCTTAGAATTCGCCTAAAATACATAAAACAATAACAATATATTCAACAACAAAATTATGACGCTGCTGAATGCAACACAAGTAATAAAAGTACATCAACAACTATAAAATGGTGATATACATAGAAAAATAAGCAGTAATGTAATTAGCAAATCTTTATAAAGATATATAATACAATCATTTACAAATAAAGTGTTATGGGCGTACCTCGAGACATTACAGTAAAAAAAAATGAATAAAAATTATAACAAACACAAAAGATAACAAAAATTAATTAAATCTAAATTTACAAAAATACAAAAAGGTTACAAAAATGAAAACATAAAAATTTAACAAAACCGCACTTGGCTAAGTGGATTAACTATCTCGCACTATTATTTAATGATAAACTGAGAGTAATGTTCATAATTATTATTTATTGCAATTTCTTGAATTTATTGAAATGTTCTTTAAATTGAATACAAAAATCAGCAATCTAAAGGTGAAGATATGAAGGAACTTTAGATATGTCCACATAATGGAGGATGATATGTTACCATACCATATTACTCGCCCCGATAATTTGAAGATAATGATTACTTACAGTAAACCTTGACGACTGGTTCACTAGGTACTTCATTGAAGTTATATACTGTACTTAATACTTTACATGTGTCAAACACTGAATTTAATTACCATTAAAGGTACTTTAAAACTATATATAATTTAGTATAGTATAAGAAAAGAAAACTTAAATATAAAGTGTACACACACTTAGAAAACAATTCACAGACGGTAAGATAACAGATACGATGTGAGCGAAGCGTCTCACGAGAAATCAACCTTTCTTCGCAACGGCCCACCGATAAGTAAATCTTTCTTTGCCAAAATTGACCAAACTCACAAAAAAAGAAGAAATCTCCCACTCAAAGATCCATAGCCCAGTTGTATGTAGTTCTGAGAAGGTAAAAATTTTCTAATGGACATCGAAAAGTTTGAGGTATTTACGGTACCAACAATTGGACCTGAGAAACATACAATCCTTTGGATTATGTTATAGTCAAAAGATTACTATAAGTATGAGCCTTCGACGAAAATTACCAATTTATGAAAAAGAACCCGCATGCCGAAAAAGCATCAGTTCCTTTCATACTCAGGATTAAGGCAGAAAGAATTAACAACCTTTCTTAATTAGGGAATTCCATGATAGTTTGGTAGGTCCACTAATATTTTCTTATCGTAAACACGATCATAGGCGTATCATCACGGGGGTAAAAGGAATTAAAAATAATTTAATATATTAATAATAAAAAAAATGTTACAATATATTAAGTAAGATGGTTTCGTCCGCACCCCATGTGTACTTTGATAGTGCCTTGATAATATTGAGTCTCTTCATCGCATTGCCCTTTAATACACTAATACGCTGTTTCCAAGTTAGCCTACTCTCAAACGTTAAACCAAGATTTTGTGATGAAACTAGTGGTAATTGAGTTTCATTAAGTGTGATAATTGGATTTTGGCTGCAGGGTCTTCTGCTAAACCGTCTTAATTTAGATTTAGTCATTGAAAAGCTAATTCGGTTTTTTGGACCATTCGCTAAGTTGATTTACAGCGGTTTTAAGTACGTTGCATGTGGCGATTGTACTTTTTTCCCTGACAATATAAAATAAGGTCATCTGCGTATATTAAGTGCTTGATTGGTGGACAAATACTTGAACAAATATCATTTATTGCAAGAATGAACAGTGTTGTACTGAGTACCGAACCTTGTGAAACTCCATTATTTTGCCCGAACGTCGCCGAAATTTCCCCATTTGTTTTCACTTTAAACGTTCTTTGTTGTAAAAAGTTTTTTATGAAGGAGTAAATATTTCCTGTTATCTTGAATTGACGAAGTTTTTCAAGAATGGCTTGGCGCGACATAGTATCGAAAGCTCCTTCTATCAAAGACAGTAGCGATTAGATCCTGTTTGTTTGAAATAGCGGAAGCTATTTGTTTTTGTAATAGCACTAAATTGTCAAGGATTAAACGGTGATGTGTAAAACCGGATTGCGCTCCATTATTGCATATTTTTCGAGAAGCCATGTTAATCTTGAATTAATCATTTTCTCAAACAGTTTACATAATGAACAGGTTAGAGAGATAGGTCTGTATGATTTTGTTAGGTTTGAGGGTAGATAAGATTTTTTTTGGTATGATAATTGATTCACGCCACAGTTTGGGTAATTGCTGAGTATATCATATCTTGTTATAAAGATTCAGCATTGTGGCCAGGCTGAAATGAGATAAATTTTTGATGAATATAATTGGGATATTGTCTGGTCCAGCGGCGGAATTCGTACAAGAGGATAGTGCAAGTGCTAATTCTTCTTATGTAAAAGGAAGGTAAATAGCATCAATGTCGTGTCTACTAGTTTGTGGAACAAGAGGAATTTGTATATT